GTCCAAAGAAAATGTTAAAAAGCGACATATTCCAGTACAACAACATCATAAGGATGTTTACAGAATGTGATTCTGAATGCTGGATAGATGTATGCCATACATTACGTAGTCATGCTGTAATACAACATGTTTATTGGTCTGGGTAGGAACAACTCCTATTGCCTTAACATGTTCTCTGTGATTGAACAGTGATATGTATATTCTTGCATGTATATTTTTTTCTCTGAGAGGATGTTGCTAATAACAACTGTCAATCATGTTCAAGTCCAATTGGAAGTAGAAAATAATTCTGCTATACACAAAAAATCTGCCTGATGCCTTTAAAAACATAAAAAGAAACAAAAAAGAACCTTGATGCCTATAGTTGTAGATGCAGTAGAGATGCTTGGTTCTGTCACTTCAAGGCTGCATTTACACAGGCAGCCCAATTCTGATCTTTTTCTCAACTAGTTTGGCTTTTGACCAATCAGATCAGCTCTGAAAAAGATCTGTGATTGGTCAAAGAACCAATTAATGGAAAAAAGATCAGCATTGGGCTGCCTGTATAAACGCAGCCTTCTAGAGTATCAGCACAATACTTCTTATTACTCCTGCATACCAGAGGGCCAGTCAGTGAATCTGCCTTGTAAAGGACACAGTGCAAGCGTCTTAGTAGATTATATTAAGTGTGTGTGTGGATGTGTGCGTTTGTACCCAATAAACTGTAGATAAGTGTTTTTTGAATAATGAATTTCAGTTCTGTACAATACAAGCACACCGATGCATTAGGCTACTATGCAAAGCATGACAAAAGCAACATGACAACGTGATATTTGGCATCAAGTAGAAAATAACTGATTTGTTTGTAATAATCTTGTGGCTTGTGTTTTATGTGTAAAACCTTTTCAAACAGTGAGGAGAGAATGTCACTATTTTGTTTATTTAAACTATAGGAATGCCTTAACTCATGTTTTTAATATGAATTACTGGTTGGTTTTCTATATGCTCTTCTGGGTTCATCATTTACTTGTGAGAATATTAATTTTGGACAGCAGGACGTTAGTTAGAAGAGGAGAGGCTGGCTCTGGGGCTGGTTGTGAGACTCCGTTACCTGATTCACAGTATAGAGCCGATCAGAACCGTACTGTGCTGGCTTGGATGTTTCATTTTCACATTGTCCTTTCCAGCACTATGTAGATGCGTAACCAGGGCAGCCCAGTATAGATAGGCTTGGCTCAGTTTGGCCCTATAAGTGTGAATGAGGCATATGAGTCAAGACACGAGCAGCATTAAATTCAGTAAGCGTTCACTCTCTGCCGTCCTCTTCTGTAAAACCAAAGACCGAACAATATGTTCCCATTTTACATACTGATAAAAAGCAACACAGACTGACTTTAGAACTCTATTTTTGATACTTTGAAATGGATGTCATTCCTAACGGTTGGGGACATATATCTATAAATATATGTTTTGTAAAAGAAAAGGGAAATACAGGTTTTAGCTGATGTTTACGGAACCTTGTATTGTCATGTCATGTACATTTTGTATTTTAAAACCATTTTGTAATTTAAGACTGCAGTGCTTTTTGAACTTATTCAAAGGGAATACCTTGCATTTAGGCTCTTACAGTAGTGTATCAATAAAAATAAAAAATGTCCAACTATGGCTTTGTGTTTTTCTCTTTCTATACTGAACAAAAATATAAATGCAACATGGAACAATAAAGATTTTACTGAGTTACAGTTCATATAAGGAAATCAGTCAATTGAAATAAATAAATTAAGCCTTAATCTATTATTTTCACATGACTGGGAATACAGATACACATCTATTGGTCACAGATACCATAAAAAAAGGTAGGGGAGTGGATCAGAAAACCAGTTTGCTATTACCACCATTTGCCTCAGGCAGCGCGACACATCTCCTTCGCATAGAGTTGATCAGGCTGTTGATTGTGGTCTGTGGAATGTTGTCCCACTCCTCTTCAATGGCTGTGCGAAGTTGCTGGATATTGGCGGGAAATGGAACATGCTGTCGATCCAGAGCATCCCAAACATGTTCAATGGATGACATGTCTGGTGTGTATGGAAGAACTGGGACATTTTCAGCTTCCAGGAATTGTGTGCAGATCCTTGCGACATGGTGCGTTACCATGCTGAAACATGAGGTGATGGCGGCGGATGAATGGCACGAAAATGAGCCTCAGTATCTTGTCACGGTATCTCTGTGCATTCAAATTACCATCAATACAATGCAATTGTGTTTGTTGTCCGTAGCTTATGCCTGCCCATACCATAACCCCACCGCCACCATGGGGCACTCGGTTCACAATGTTGATATCAGGTAACTGCTCACCCACATGACGTCATACACGCTATCTGCATTCTACAGTTGAAACGGATTCATCTTTGAAGAGCACACTTCTCCAGCATGCCAGTGACCATCGATGGTGAGCATTTGCCCACTGAAGTCAGGTCAAGACCCTGGTGAGGATGACACGCACGCAGATGAGCTTCACTGAGACAGTTTCTGACAGTTTTTGCAGAAATTCTTCAGTTGTGCAAACCCAAAGTTTCATCAGCTGTCCAGGCTAAGATGATCCCGCAGGTGAAGCCGGATGCGGAGGTCCTGGGCTGGCGTGGTCTGCAGTTGTGAGGCCGGTTGGACGTACTACCAAACTCTCTAAAATAACGTAGGCGGCTTATGGTAGAGAAATTAACATAAAATTATCTGGCAACTGCTCTGGTGGACATTCCTGCAGTCAGCATTCCAACTGCACGCTCCCTCAAAACTTCAGACATCTATGCTATTGTTTAGTGTGACAAAACTGCACATTTTAGTTGCCTTTCGTCCCCAGTACAAGGTGCACCTATGTAATGATTATGCTCTTTAATTAGCTTCTTGATATGCCACATCTGTCAGGTGGATGGATCATCTTGGCAAAGGAGAAATGTTCACTAACAGGGATGTAAACAAATTTGTGCATACAATTTGAGAGAAATAAGCTTTTTGTGCATATGGAACATTTCTGTGATCTTTTATTTCGGCTCATGAAACATGGGACCAACACTTCACATGTTTATATTTTTGTTCAGTTTGGGAGGAATAATAATAATAATATGCCATTTAGCAGACGCTTTTATCCAAAGCGACTTACAGTCATGAGTGTATGGGTGGTCCCGGGGATCGAACCCACTACCTTGGAATGGTGGTGTTGATCCTGGAAGAGATTGCCTTATCACTGGTTGACAATAAATCACTTTATTACGCAGGGCCTCATTTCATAGGAGTCATCTATACCTACACTGGAATATAAAGTATGTATAATTTACTGGATCAGCCTTTCAAATAGCCTACTAATAAGGATTACTAGAAGACCTAATTTATGAACGCGTATGTGCCATTAAAGAGCCGAGACATCTTTTGCGCCACTAGTTTCCCAATTCAATCCAGTGTAAAAATACACATTTCATTGGTGCATGCCGCCATACATACATAAACGCTTTTCACAGCAAAAACCAAGTTATACTAGTTATAAGTACTGACTTGTTCAATAGAATTTCATTGATTTAGTTCAGAACAAATTAAGGCTGTTTAAACACTGGGGCAATAAAGTTTCATTTATTTATTCAAACAGTTATATACACATACAGTTATAAATTCATACAAGTCAAGTCTCAAACTTGCTTAAAAGAAACAAACAAAAAAGTCCCCTCTGCCACCAGAGGTCAGCCAGGCCTCAGAGGGGGCTGGTATTGCACTCTGGGTAATGTAGGCACAGTGAAGATGAGAAACCAAAGACACTAGTGTTCTCAGCAGCCCAGTCACAGGAAAAGGAACAACTCATTCACTTTATTTATTTTTTAAACAGTTTGTCGGTCCAAAACAAGGGAGAATCGAAAGCATGCTGCAGAAGACCGCGGTTTTCAAGAACAGTCTGGAAGAAAACTAAAGAGATGGCACAGAGATCTACTCTCTTTAAAGGATAAATGATATTGCTTAAAGATTATGCAGACCAACAGCCAACTCTTTTCACATTTACATTTGAGAGTTTATTTTGGATTAAACAAAGAATCAATATTTGTCATGCTAGTATACTACAGAACTATATGAGACTCTGGCTACTTGAGCCTTAGCCTACTCTGATTGTAGCAAAGACAACAAAAAAAGAGTGCTTGGACATATTCTAAATAGAATGGCATGCCATACATAAATGCTTTTTACAGCAAAAACAAAACACTGTTACACAAGTAGTTGTCAATAAGTGCATCACCCAGCATGTTACTGTGGCTCTCACTACTGTACATAGTGGCCTTGTCTTTTCTAGTTCTCCAAAAGCCATGCCAGGGAGTAGTGGAATGAGCATCTGATTTCCCTTCTGCTATCCAGTACAATAGTAGTTTCAGTTCCAGTCAGTCTATATGGCTGTCATCTATTATCACACTGTACAGGTCAGCATTGGAAGGCACATCATTTACGACACTAACGTGCATACAGTACATGCGTAGTGTTTGAAGACATACACACATGCATACGGTAGGCTACATACAGTAGTGTTTCAGACTGACAAACCAGACACAGGGGAATAGGGATTTTGTTTGGAGGTATGAACATCTTATATAGTGGGGTTGTAGTGGTCATTTTGCTAAAACAAAGGGAGACGTGGTTTCATGCTTTAGGTGAGTGGTAAATATCATTTTCATCGTCGGTGGATGTTATGGAAGTATTAACACAAGGCACTTCGAGCCAGACACACAGGAAGGATGACGTGCATCATATATAAATATGTGTACAACCTAGTGCTGTGGGGAGAGGTGTCTGTCGGTCTGTGTATGAATGTTGAGAGGGAGCGTGAAAGAGGGGGGGGGGGGGGGGGGGTCGGCGGATTGTTTGTGGGGAAAAAGAGGTGTGTCCATCAGTAGTGGAGGGAGAGGGCGAGGGAGTGACGAGGGAGAGAGAAACGGTGTCAGCAGTTGCGGTCCTCGGCTCATCCCTCCATGGTCGCGGTCAGCTGGTCACGGTCAGTTGCAGCACACCAGCAGGTGGACGGGGAGACCAGACAGGGGGTGGTTGGAGCGCTCGGCCACGGCCCGCCTGGCTGACTCCTCGCTGGGGAAGGTGACCAGGGCCTCGCCACTACGCTGGCCGCTGAAGTTGTACAACAGGAGGATGGAGTCCGGCTGGAGCTGGAGGCAACAAACCACAGGAGATGGAGGAGGGATGTAAAGAGGTGTGGAGCGAGAGAGAGAGGGGATAGAAGCCACACCGCTCAGTCATTAGCACCATCCCAACACCAGGGGGCCACAATCAGGCAAAGGAGAGAGGAGATCCTGCACTGATCAAACAAGTAGAGTTAGAGAGGAGATCCTGCACTGATCAAACCAGTAGTTAGAGAAGAGATCCTGCATTGATCAAACCAGTAGAGTTGGATGAGTCAAAGACGAGAAACCACAGGCCAATGCAATTCCTTCTAATGCATGCTTCCCTTTAGAAGAGCTTCAGTCCAAAAGCAATCCCCTGATCAGTCTGTGGGAGCAGGTTAGCAATTGTGTTAATAAACTCAGAAAGAACACCACTAGGGTAGCACACTCAGGTCAAGGGCTAGATAAATAGTTAGAGAGGAGAGGAAGGGAGATAGAAAGAGAGAGAGATTCACTCTGGAGCACACTGTTGATTTGGTGTTCGGCAGGTGGACTGGCAGGCAGGCAGACGGGGGGGCCATGCGAGGTACAGGGGGTTGAGGGTGTTAACTTACCTTAGTCTCCCTACAGACAGAGCCACTCTTTGGGCTGGATCAGACTCCTGGTCTGTCCCTGACTCATCTGAACCATGCTGCTGTAGTCTTCAGGAGAGTACTACAGTGTAATGAGTTTCACAGTCAGACAGGGGGACTCAGTAGAGCATTATATACACACACACCACATAAATAAACTCACAGTTTAAAACCTAGATACACACGTTTTAAATGTAGATACACCACACTACAAGTCCCCAACAACTGTCATTGGAACATACATGCATACACTATAAGTGTAATGTATGTAAGACACCAATCAGAACAGTTTCTCACCCAAACTGAGTGCTCAGTCAGAGATAGCACAACAAGTTTATAATTGAGCCAGATAGCAAAAACCAGGGGATAATCAGTCAGGATGAGATTACAGTGGTTTAGCCAAGAGTCAGGACTGAACACAGCAACACACACTCTTTAGCACACACACACAGCGTATGACTGAAAAGCCTTACAGTAACTGGTCAGGTGATCTCACATGCTGGGAACTTAAGAGTTAGCCCCAAGGAAAACACATACCTATGACATTAAAAACCAGCAGCAACTTTTCTAAACAAACCTTTAAGAGCACAAAGAGACCCAAACCCTTTTACAAAAACATCCCAGCCCCAGCCCTGTATCCTAGAACACCTAATACACCTTGCCCAACCAGCCCAGTCAGTCACAGTACTGTGAGAGTTCAGTTCATACCTCCTCTGTAGACTCACTCCACCTACTCAGCCAGTCAGCCAATGAGGGAGAAGTAAGAGAAGGGGAGAGCACAAGTGCACACGTGTTCCTTATTGAATATGCAGCACGGCTGAACCATGCTTGGTGTTGCAATAAAGCATTCTGGTAGCTAATATATGAGCATAGTGACTGGTCAATGGTGAATGATGGTTTGCCTACAGGCTTGTAGTTAAACATAAAGCTGGTTTTGTCATGAGGTGGGGTTATAGTTTGGGGAATTATACAAATATGCTATTATGGAATAAGAAGGGTTTGGACAGTTTGTCCAGGTATTTCTTAAATTTAAAATTTTGGGGGATTTGTGTGTATTGTTAGGTATTACTGCACTGTAGGAGCTAGAGACATAAGCATTTCGCTGCACCCGTGATAACATCTGCAAAATGTGTACGCGACCAATAACATTTTATTTTTACAGTTTATGTAACACAAGTCAGAGCCGCACTCGCCCCAAACCAATTTAGAGCCCCATCTGACACCAGGACAGATTTTTCTCCTCAACCCGACTCTCCCGCATAGAATTGTTCCGAGAGCTGATCTGTGACCCACCAAATAACATCAATTTTATTGTTTCCATTACTCCAGAGTAGTAGGCCATTATTCCCTCCCTGCATGAATTCATTTGTTTGCATGTCTATTGAACATTTGGATAAAAGGAAACCAAGCCGATATCTTTTTATTTTTACAATTGACAACTCAAATCACTCTGAAACAAGGGCCTTCTAATTAGCCTTCTTACCTAATGAAAGCCTTTAGCTGACAAAACTCGTGCAGCACCTGTTTCCACAATGGTGTATTTCATAACCTTTATTTTTATTTTTCCAGTTAGGTCTATGTTAGACATTTTCGCCTGACCTACGCTATCCAGGGAAATTACACTTGGCAACATATTCCAGCACCACACAATGGACAGTTCCCTGATCCACTGCGTGCATGGCTGGTAGCCTACATGTCTGTCTCACCGCTCACAGAACGGAATTCTCAACACAATAAAAAAATATTTTATCTTGATTTAAAATGCTTCCGACCCGCAATATAATTGTTCTGAACCGCAAACCGACCCATGGGTTGAAATAACGTTTTCATTGCTCCCGCTAGCTGATTTTTTTGCAGGTCAACCGCGGGGAACCGACCCGATGCAGGACTCTAACCGACAGCCCCTAAACCCTGCAAAAACTAGCAGAACATCCTGCTTTGCTTTTGGCTGTCACACACAGGCACAAACATATACCCGCATCAGACAGAAGATGTGGTATGTTACAACGCAATGTTTATATAAGCCCCTTTCAAACAGCCCGTTATTTACCACTCAATTGCAGGTATACTCCTTTTATACATGTCAGTGGGTAAATGGCAAATTGGGAGGGATGGGGGTGTTGTTAAACCATGGGGGCTGTTTGCATTTCAAATTAGGGAGGTGTTAAAACAATGGAAGTGTTAATGAATTTACCTGCAAAAAGCAGAAAACCAATCACACAGACCCAATACCTGTATTTTGGTTACAGCGTCTGTGAAAATGCAGGAATCATGACTAGGTTTTTAGGTGGCTTTTAATTTGCCATGTTTTTACCCCCTACCCCTACAAAAAGCTGGTATGGTAAAATAGTGGGATCTTAGTCTGTATATGAAAAGGGACAAAACACACAAAAAAGAGTGGCAAAGAAATCACCAAGACACACATTAAACTGCAATGGAGATTGAGGAGTGGGACTGGGGAGACTGGAACTAAGGAGACTGGGGGTAGAGGGAGGGAGGGACTGGGGGTAGAGGGCAGCAGAGACTGTTTTAGGGGACTGTGGAGGGAAAAGGAGAGGGTTAGTAGTGGGGGGTATATTGGGGGTTCTGACCTGGTATCCCTGGAAGAAGCTGAGGATGTCTTTGACCCCGGCATTGTAGGGCAGACCCTGCATCCTGACTAGAGCGCCGTGCTGGGGCATCATGGGAGAGGCAACATGGCCTTGGGCATGGGGCTGCTGGGCCGCTAACGCTACTGACCCTGGAGGAGATGCAAAGTAGCTCACCGTGGAGGGAGAGACTGGGGGGCTAGAGCAAGAGAGAGAAACAGATAGTTTTTTTTACTTTGGAAGCAAGTGTACATTATCCAGAATATGTTGGGTATTGATTTTGACACTGGAACATGGCACTTTGAACTGCATACACACATGACACAAGAGGATGTACAGTTCATATTGACAAAACCCCAGAGGGAAATGGTTGTGTGGTTTGTACACTAAGCTGGGGTAGTATTCAGTGTAGTTTACACTAACCTGGGGTAGTATTCTGTGTAGTTTATACTAACCTGGGGTAGTATTCTTTGTAGTTTATACTAACCTGGGGTAGTATGCAGTGTAGTTCATACTAACATGGGGTAGTATGCAGTGTAGTTCATACTAACCTGGGGTAGTATGCAGTGTAGTTTATACTAACCTGGGGTAGTATGCAGTGTAGTTCATACTAACATGGGGTAGTATGCAGTGTAGTTCATACTAACCTGGGGTAGTATTCAGTGTAGTTTATACTAACCTGGGGTAGTATTCAGTGTAGTTTATACTAACCTGGGGTAGTATGCAGTGTAGTTCATGTTCATGTTCATGTAGAGCTGTGCAGGGTGGTGCTGTGGGGGGTAGTAGGCCAGGGTGGGGTGGGGGCTGTGTGGGGGCTGGGGGGTTCTGGGGGTGGCCAGTAGGGGGGGCTGGTACAGAGCAGCCTCAGAGAGCATGGCAGGAGAAGGGAACGCAGCATAGGCCGGAGGAGCCAGACCTGGGGAGAGGACAGAGAGGGAAGTTCAGAATTTCAGATACAGTAACATTCAACTACACAGGAATATTGGATCCTTATCATAATCTTAATATTATTACACCATCATAACATTATCATGCCTAAGCCTGCACATCAAACACATATCACACTGAACCATCATACATTTACATTTTAGTCATTTAGCAGACGCTCTTATCCAGAGCGACTTACAGTTAGTGAGTGCATACATTTTTCATACTGGCCCCCCGTGGGAAACTAACCCACAACCCTGGCGTTGCAAGCGCCATGCTCTACCAACTGAGCTACAGGGGACTACAGCTCCATGTGCCATACAACATCAATCCAATTGATTTATAAAGCCCTTTTTACATCAGCAGTTGTCACTAAGTGCTTATACAGAAACCCAGCCCAAAACCCCAAAGAGCAAGCAATGCAGATGTAGAAGCATGGTGGCTAGGAAAAACTCTAGTTTTTCATATGATTGATAAGACTGTATATATTAGTCACATAAAAGCCTCAAGATAGTATCCTACTCAGAAAGTTGCTCCAGGTCTGTCCTTGGTGCTGCCCTAACCCTACAACATAAACACACTGAGGGACTGAGGGAGGGAGGGACAGCGCATTTATACACAAACAGGCTGTATGGGTCTGTGGGCCACATTGACACAAAACACAGTCAGATGACCTTGTGGGCTGAGGGTGGGTTTGCAGGTACACTCCCCTAACCAATCTGGCAACTTAAGTGACCTTGTTAGGCTGAAGGTTGCCACATGTTGTACACTCCACTACAATCTGGTAACCTGAGTGACTGGTCACCAAACTGGCAACTCAAGTGACCTTGTGGGCCTGAGGGGTTAACAGGTGGACTACACTCCGCTCACTAACCTGGGAACCTGAGTGAGAGTGACTGACTTTGTAGGGTTAAGGGTTGCCAGCCAGGTAATGTACACTCATCCCTACCCAATCTGGCAACCCAAGTGACCTTGTGGGGATGAGCGTTCTAGGTACACTCGGCTACCAACCTGGCAACCTGAGCGAGGGACTGCCATAACTCCAGGTCAAGCCAGTGAGATTACAGTTGATGTCAAACATGAGGTTGAATAAAGGGAAAAAAGTCAACAGCAAACAGAAACCGCCATTTGAGTAACTGCTCTCAAAGTGTGGCCATCAGAATTCACAACAGCCAATGGTGACACCAGACGGAATTCACAACAGCCAATAGCCACACCAAGAGCATGCACTGCCTTCTAGTGATATGATAAGCAGGAATCTAATCTCTATAGCAACAGGGCACTAATAGAACAAAGTACACTGGGATAGACACCCACTTTAACCGTGTGTATGCAAACAAACCCTTCATAGTTTTAATTGGTGTGTTACACCACCCTACATTATACAACTAATATGGAGGGCATAATTACTACAGCTGACCCTGCCTGTGTAATATGTTCCCTGAACAAACCATTAAAAAGGCATAACCCTGACTGAAACATGTCCGTTTGAATAATAAAGAAGCATTTCTGAAAGCTACTTCCACTGTCCTCGCTACATATTCTCTGTTCTACGTGATATGTTGTAAAACATCAATGGGACATGCAGTGATTCAGCTAGATCTATTATAGACTTACAGGGTAGTTTGCAGGGTGGAGGGGACAGGCCGCTGCGGTTGAGTGTTCCTCCCATCAGGACGAAGCTCATCTCCTCAGTAGAACACTGGAACACCTCCACATAGCGATCCTTCATCATCTTCTTATGGCACTTCTGGGCCACCATGAACGCCCTGTCAGCTGACTTCATCTGGATGAAGGCGTCACCTGAGGGACGACCCTGGAGAGGAGAGGGAGGTTAGAGATGAGAAAGATGGGCTGTTGGAAGGGTTAGGGTAGGAACTTTGGTTGCATCTCAATAGTGTAAAGCTGCTTCCGATTCCTCGGCTTGTACCCATCACTTCATCTGCGCTAAGTGTTTAATATAAGATGGGTGAAAGTATCATGGCACAAGCGCACGTGTGTGTGTACCAGTACCTGTTGGTTGAGCACCATATGAACCCCATGTGGTTTAATATCAATAGTGTGTTCTCCCATGAACTCCAGTATATCCTCTATAGCAGCGGTGTATGGTAGACCTCGCAGACGGACACAGTCCCGCGTGCTGCCAGTCGCCAGGTAGGGGGGTGTGGCCAGGACCGGCATGGGGACCATGGAAGAGGAGGGCAGCGTGGAGATCAGAGGGGTGGACATGTACCGGTTCAGGACCTAACAGAGAGGGCAGAGGTCAAAAGGTCAGACGACAAAGTCGTGTTTCTCTGTTGTGTTGAGTCATGTTGATCGTCATTTACAATAAGCTTTTATCTAATACAGTCAAACTAACATCTCTGGTGTCATGACACAAGCACCATCCTCCAGCCAACTGACTCATGGGGACCACATTCTATGCTGTGTCACGTATAGTCCTTCTCCAACTTTAGTCATGTCTTACGCTGTAAATACAATACTCATTGCACAACATGTACAGTAACACTCATTTCAGACGAAAATAAGAGAACTGGTTAAATATGGAGAAAGAGGTTTATCTCCAGTAGTCCTCCTTTCTAAAGAAATGACCTCAAGTGACAGGCAGTGCCTAGAACACTGTACCCGTTGGACCTCAACTGTACTTCTAAAACGCTCTATGCATCTCTACCTTACAGTGACTGTCTACTATAATGTAATTGTTGCACCGTGGCTGCAGTACAAGGGAACAGCTTGATGCATCTCTGATAGCAGGATAAGTAGTAAAGAAACAACCCCATTAAGTCCCTAAACACCGCCTGCTGCACCTCACCTGCAGTACTTATGAACATCTCTACATTCTACTACACCATACCTGCTGCACCTCACCTGCAGTATACTACACCATACCTGCTGCACCTCACCTGCAGTATACTACACCATACCTGCTGCACCATACCTGCAGTATACTACACCATACCTGCAGTATACTACACCATACCTGCTGCACCTCACCTGCAGTATACTACACCATACCTGCAGTATACTACACCATACCCATGCATTATACATACACCTCCCTGGCTTTTCACCCACCTCGTATACTAACCATTTTGCTTTTCTCACCCCTACCTGCGTATACTACACCCACCTGCTGACCATACCTCAATATACACCCATACTGCTGCACCTTTACTGCAGTATATCCATACCTGCAGTATAATACTATACACCATACCGCAGTATACTACACCATACCGCTGAACCTCACCGAGATACTACACCATACCTGCTACACCTCATGCAGTACAAAAACAATCCGGTATACTACACCATAAATGCTGCACCTACCTGCTGTATACCCACCCCTACACTGCTGCTGCAAACCTCACCTGCAGTAAAACAAAACCATACCTGCAGAATACTACATTTCTCCTGATACACACCTACGCCGCAACCCATACCGGGGGAACTACCCAACCTGCCGGACCCACCTTGGTATACGACCCTAATGAGTAACCCCACCATCTGCTGTTTAACACATACCGGATAACCTATGCAGTATCTACAAAACCTAGGACCGGATAAAAATACACCATCCTGCTGCACCTGCGTTTTTACAAAATCTGATCTGCTGTTCTAACACCGGGTTTCCTGCAGTTCTACACCATATCTGCTGCCCCCGGGTTTTTTGGGGGGGGGTTTTAAAAAAAATTTTTTTCCCCCTCCCGGGGTCCGGGAATTTTTTTTTTTTTGGAATTCCCAAAACCCCTACCCCCAACCCCCAAACTCCCACCCTACCGCTATTTCCCCAAACCCGCGATACCCAAAAACCCCCCTTACCACCTCTTTCTACCCCAAAACCCTATAACCCCATACCTGCCCCCAACCGGGATACTACCCAAAATTCGTTTTTTAAACCCCCCCAGTATACACACCCAAAATGCTTTTCCCCAAAAACCCTAACCCCAAAACCCACCCACCTGCAGTATACTACAACCTACCGCCAAAACCCCCTAAAACTAAAAAAACCCCAACTCACCCCCCCCCCAAAAAATTTCCCACCCCAAATTAAATACCAAAACCAAACCCGCGAACTCCCCATATCTCACCTCCCCGACCCCCTTCCCAAATACAAACCCCCCCAAACCCCCCAGAAAAAACCCCAACCCCAAAAAACCAAAAAACCCCGAACAAAACCCAAAACCCCCCAAAAAAAAAAAACAACCCCGAAAATTTAAAAAAACCAAAAAGGAAACCCCCAAACCGTTACAAAAGAAAACCCCCCCCCAAAAAAACCCCCCCCAAAATGGTTTTCCAAAGTTTTAAAATGCTGGGGGTTTTTTCCCCTTTGCGAAGGGGGGAAGGTTGGGGGAAAATCCGGGGAAAGGGGAAAGGGGGAAAAGGGGGTTAATTTTTTCTTGTGCCCAAGGATTTTCCCCCCGGAAATTTTCCCCCCCCTTCCCCAAACCCCGCCAAAAACCGGGTTTAAAAAACCAGCCCCCGGGGTTTTTTTCCCCGGGTTTTCCCCAAAACCAAATTTTCCCTACAGTTTTCACCCTGGGAAGGGAAAGGGGTTTTTATTCCCCTTTGGGAAAAAAACCCCCCCCAAAAAGGGGGAAATCCCCAACCCGGGTTTAAAAACCAAATCCAGTAAAACCCATCAATTCCAAAGGAATTTTTGGCCCCAAAAATAGGGGAACCCCTGATCCCAAAGGGGATAAAAAAGGGGTGAAAAACCCCTAAAAAAAGGGGGGGGCGCCCCCCCTGGGGTTTAAAAAACCCTCCGGGAATAAATTTTTTAAAACACGAAAAAAAAAACCCCCCGGGGCACCACGGTAAAGGGAAAAGATATCAAAAACCCTCCCTTTTTTAACAAAAATCCTTTCCCCGGGGCCCAAAAATTTTTAAAAAACCAAAACCCCCCAATCATTTTTTCCCCCCACGGGTTTTTGCATTTTTCTTTTGCATTTAAAAAAACCCCCCCTTCCCTTTTAAGCCCGGGAAACCCTTTTGAAATTTTTTTCCCCAAAATTTTTAGAATTTTCCCCCTTCTTTTCCAACGTGGGAATGGGGGGGGAAAAAAAAACCGAGAAAATTTGGTCCAAATAAAAACCCCCCAAAAACTTTTTTGGAAACCCGTTTCCCCCCTTGCCCCCCCCCCCCCCCCCCCCCCCCCCCCCCCCCCCCCCCCCCCCCCCCCCCCCCCCCCCCCCCCCCCCCCCCCCCCCCCCTTTTTTTTTTTTTTTTTTTTTTTTTTTTTTTTTTTTTTTTTTTTTTTTTTTTTTTTTTTTTTAAAAAACCTTTCAGTTACACGTGCCCCGCAGTACACACATAGGGCACCTCACCGCAGGAGTAACTACACACATATGCTGCACCTCGCTGCAGTATACTTACCCTAATGTTGCCCTCATCTTTTCAAATTGACACACATATGCGGTAGATTCACATGAGTGCAAAGTTATAAACCATCCCTCATTTTATACCCCAAACCCCAAACCCAAACCACCAACCGCAGAAAAAAACCATCCGAAAAAGCAAACAAAACCCCAGAAAAAAACCCCAAAAACCCCAAAGCAGTATATACACATACCGCTGCACCTCACCTGCAGTAATACTACACCATACCTGCACCTCACCTGCAGTAACTACACCATACTGACATACTCACTGCACCATACCTGCTGCTCACTGCAGAATACTACAATACAGGCGCACCTCACCTGCAACTACCTGTGCACTACCTGCAGAATACTACACCAATACCTGCAGTATACTACACCACCTGCTGCACCTACCTGCAGACTACACCATACCTCTGCACCTCACTGCAGTATACTACACCATACCTGCCTGCACCTCACCTGCAGTATACTACACCTACCGCTGCACCTCACTGCAAATACCATACTGGCACCTACCTGAGTATACTACACCCTACCTACTGGCATCACATGAGAATACTACACCATACCTGCTGCACCTCACCTGCAGTATACTACACCATACCTGCTGCACTCACTGCAGTATACTACACCATACCTGCCGTAGGACTGGGCCATACCTGCTGCACTCAGTATACTACACCTACCTTACACCTACTATGACCTCAGCTGCAGTACTATGAACAGCTCTACATTCTACTACACCGTACCCGTCAGACCTCAGCGAGTTTTTTGAACAGTTCCCTATAGTGACTGTTACTACACGAAAAAAGTGAGTGCTGTGTTTCCCTGTTGGACCTGCTGCAGGTTGAACAGCCGATGTATCTTTTTCCCCAAGGATTGCTTTGTTTTTCAGGGCGTTCAGGGCGTACTCCTCACAGGAGAACAGGACGAAGGCGTCGCCCGTGGGCCGCCCATCGGGGTACTTTACGAAGAGTAGGCCCTCGCTGGCGTCCGTCACGGGGCTGTCGGCCCCCAGGAAGGTCAACAACTCCTGGGGAGAGGCGGTGAAGGGAAGACCCCTCATCCTGATGATCACCTGGTTCTCCTTGGGGCGGAAAATGGGCCAAACCCCGTTGGGGGCCCAAGTCCAAAAAGAGGGAGAGGGGAAAAAGAATTAAATAGGGGTTAAAAGTTAACTTTTGTAATTTCTTGGCCCCCCTTTTTATTGCAGATTATTCTGAGGAGTTGATTGTTGCCACTAATAAATAAAATGATCAAATGCATTACATTACTTAAAATACAAGAGTAGACATTAAAACAAGAGCAGTGAGTCAGAGTCTAGGGCCGACAGTATCTGCTGGAAGTACAATGTTTTGTCAGACATTATAGATCTCCAGTCGTCTGGCTAGAGTCCACAGACAGACACTAGTCTCTCCCCTGCCCTCTCTCCTGTATCAGCTCTGCTCTTTGTCTATTCACACCCCCTTTGTGTGGCCCTGAGCTGGGCCTTTCACTGGCCGCCGGGAGGATGAGGTGAGACACTGTCGGCCAGGGGTAAAGTTACCTTCCACCAACTAGCCTCTGAGGGGTGAGAGAGGGGAGGGGGTGAGGCTCACAAAGCGCCTTTCATTCCCCCAGGATAAGCCAGAGAACCGGAGCGGTACAGGGCAGGGGAACAGGGACAGTTCCTCTAGTCTCTACTCTATACTCTCCGCTCTGCTCAGGAAAGAGCTGCTGTTTGAGAGGCAGGGGGGTCTGTCTTGGGTCTGTCTGGGATATGGGGGGGAATGTAATAGAAAGCTACACTACCACACACTAACAGAGAAACGTTCAACATGGCTTCATAGGAAGCAAGGGAAGAGACAGGGAAGGGGGAAAAGTCTGAAATCTGACCTCCAGCAATCTTGAGGAATTCCTCTCCTGTGGCTTTGTAGACCTGTGAGGATGAGAGGAGACTTTTAGCAACTCTAAATGGCCTTTCATCTGACCAATGCAACATGCACTGTGTGCTACAGTTGGAAAGCATTACTTTTTTTCTTTGTAACAGTATTGGCTGGATAGGTGATGCTGTAACGGTATTGGATCCATAAGTGATGCAACAGTAATGGTATGGCTGTGTTAGACGTAGGGGCTGCTGTCTTAGACGGATGCTGACCTCAATGTATCTGCTGCCCATGTGGTGTTTGTGTCTCTCCAGGGCCAGGTCTCTGTGCTCCTGGTTGATGAAACGAACCAGGGCTTCACCGTTCCTCCTGCCCTGGGCGTTCAGACAGAGGGCCACACCACCCCTAGAGATACACACAGGGAGAGGTTGGAGGAAGGATAAGCACAATTTGACCCTCTATGGAGACAAAGCTGCATGTACAACTTATTGTGGGTGTTAGTCGCCCATTCTCAGTGGAAACGTGGCTTAATCACATGACACACACACAGTCATGTTTTGGTAACGTACTTGGCGATGTTGAGGCCCTTGAAGAAGCGGGCGATGTCCTGGTCAGAGGATTGCCATGGCAACCCTCTGGCTCTGATCACTGTCTCACTGTCCACTGGTTCGGTCTTACTGCTGCAGGGGACAAACCAGAGGCACGGTCAACATGGGGAATGGTGTTTAACTGTTACACACTGAACTCACACAATGCTGCATGAGACACCAGAGAGAGAGTAATGTTCAGAAACTCTTTGAAGACAATGTAAATGGCTTGAATAGTACTTCTATATTGTTAAAAAACCAAAGTGTTTCAGTAAGTCGTCTTCATCAAAGACAGACATGGTAAAAATTGGGACTTATGCAGTTTAACAGTCTACTTCACACTACTCTAACACAGCAACACAAATTCCAGGGGTTGTCAAGGCAATGGGTATTGGACACCGTAGTGGGATTTGTGTGGTGCTACTGTATAGCCAGTTGAGTACTTAATGGCAAAGTTGGAGTGGTTTAATGACACGCTTGTGGTTTCTCTTGTTGCTGTAATCAATGCTAAGAGCCTGGCTCTGAACATGGGAGGGACGGTTAGGCTTCAACTACAGTAAACACTAAACAACAGGTTTAGTATAGAGACGTGGCCACACAACCTCATGGTTGAATGAGGTAACATTAAGTCGATGCACTGAGAATATACATACCATGCTCCCGATTCAAGCTTGTACTTCACAGCTTCAAAGCATGAGAATTTGTGGTCTGGAAGAGATTCAAACACTAATTAACAATACGCATCAAACTTCTATCCACATTTACAATCAAAAGTACCATACTGATAAAAAAATTACTTCACATTAGGCTTGACATTGGATCTGCCAACAGAAGCCAATTGACTTCACTTCTATTCAGACTAAACAATACAACAAATGTTGTTTTTAGTGTTGCTCCGCGTTGCCAGGTTGTTTCATGCTCAACAGGTCTGGCCTGCCAGCCTGCAACTTCAGCAGCATTCCTGTTAGCCACCTAGCCTAGAGAGATTGACAGGGCTGTGGGGTGGCCAGGTGGGACTGGCACAGACAGAGAGCGGGGGGAAATGTGGGCTAAAGAGAGGGATAGCAAAAGAGAGATTTATAGACGTACTGTATGGCTCAGCCAGGATGTGCAGGGAGAGCTGGACCATACTCCTCACCTCCTTCAGCCCCATCACCTGCTCTGACAGGGGAAGTTCTGGGATGCACACATCTACACACAGGTAAGGATGGTTTATCTGTCATTTGTATAAGTACTAGGAACATCAAAAGTGTTGACTGACATTATTTTTAATCTAACCCTGACTTACATTCTAGCATAGAGGGCAGTGTGAGGTCCTGGACCTGTCCAACGTTGGGACAACATTTGTGAAACTCTTTCCTCACATCCACAAAGGAGTAGAAACACTCTGGCAGGACCAGGTTCTGAAACACACAACAGGTCGTTCAGTCATTAGTCTATTCAACATTCACTGAATAGTAGAATACTCTGTAGACAGACCTCATGAAAATAAGGGATAATAGGAGTGACGCAATGAAGGAGGGAGCCAGGTATAGGCGGCATAAAGAGATGAAGAAAGAGGGGATGAGATGAAAAGGAAAGTGAAAGAAAAAAGAGAGGACAGGACGCCATCTCCGGATGATTGTGTGGATAGCTAGCATTCCTGTGAAGATTATGACATGTTACTGCTCTACACAAGACAAGCACAGGAGAAATACTGCTAACTGTGACCCAGGAAGTACAACTTACACGTGTGGCTAACAAGGTCAAATGTAAAGAATATACACAAACAAATACCAAAGACTCAATATCTGGACTGAATTATAGCATTGTGCCTCCTTCACCTAAACAAAGTCCTAGAGACTGATACACATAATACCTTTTCCATATACATGTTGGAAATTCCCCTAAAAACTAGGTCAGTAAATAACGGCAATTATATTTTCTAACAAAATGGCTACATTTCCCCTAAATGGTAGGTTAGAAGATCAAGGGCCACTCAATACCTTCTTGGAGGCCTCAGGGTGAAGGGCCTGTCGTATGATGAGGGGCCCGTCGACACACAGTGTGTAGGAACTTCTGCCCAGAGCCTTCACCTCCGCTGAGACGGACTGCTGGAACTGTAGGGAGAGAATGAAGAAAGATACAAGAGGAGAGTTATTGTGAGAACATACAATGAGTCAAACACACACAACCAAACTAAAGTATGACTTTACTTTGTTGGTTATCAGCCAAGTAGTTGCCTGTGGTCTTTTAGAGATTCAGTGTAAACCACTTGTGGCCAGCAGACAAACATGGGAGTGCCAATGTCACCTCTGAAAAACCACAGAGTAACACAGTACTGATTAATTCTGCTCTGCTGCAGCACGCTACTAACTACATTTACATTTACGTCATTTAGCAGACGCTCTTATCCAGAGCGACTTACAAATTGGTGCATTCACCTTATAGCCAGGTTATACCTTATAGCCAGGTTATGCTTGATTTGTTTTCAAATAACAGTGCTCAGGGAGTTCTCTCCCATAAGAATTAGCAGTGTTTCTAACCTTTAACACTTTAAATAGGCCAAGTCTTTAAATAAGCCCACTGGTACGAACAAGTTCCCTGAACAGGTAGGTTTGAGTTCTGGGGGATCAACAGGTAGGGAGGCGTCCTGAGATTGACGGATGTGAACGCTACGTTCTGTACCGTGCGTGTGTGTGCGCGCATCTTATAAATGGGGAGGGGGGGGGGGGGGGGATCCAATAGGTTTTTTCAGGTGTTTGCATAGCGAGGAAGCAGACGAGGGATCGTGGTGCTAATCAGCACCTGGATCAGGGACTTCACTTAGCAGTTAGACCAACTGTCACGACCAGACCAAGATGAGACAATGTTCGCCAATCACTAGCCCCTATAAAAACACTCAGCCAATGACCAAGCCCCGCAGCAGTGACTCCCAAATAGGTATGTGTTTAGTAATCATCACATTTAAATGGGGCCCATTACTAGTGTTGTGTAAACTTTACTGGTGTCTTTGAACAGTCAACAGACATAACGTCTCACCATCACCTCAACCAACAAACTGACCTCTCCAATTTGCCAGTTGGTGCTCCAATTCCATTTCTAGCTAGGCTGGCTTCCTTCTTTGAGGATATCATTTTGGTATCTTGTCTATTAGGGGAGAGTGGGGTAAGTTGAAACGCCCTTGTTTGTAGGAAACCATACACAAAATGTATCATTTGACCAAATATTGAGGAACCGGTCATAATTTTATGGAGTCTGAAGGGAGAAACCACATGGAAAATGTGGTAAGCAAGTTAGGTAAAAAATTTTTTTTAAAGATTCACCAAGTCAAATTAATGTATTGTGTTAAGAGGTTTCATTTACATTTTAGTCATTTAGCAGACACTCTTATCCAGAGCGACTTACAGTTTATTATTTATTTTTTAGATTCATACTGGCCCCCCGTGGGAATCATACTCACAACCCTGGCGTTGCAAGCGCCATGCTCTACCAACTGAGCTACACGGGGCTTGTATATAAACCACAGTAGATCATTTTAAGATTGTTCTATACATCAGTTGGGGTCTCTATAAGCTTCAATAGGAGGTCCTAAACCTAGCACGGAAGCCTCTATAATGCAAATTCTGTTGTGTGGTGTTCCGCAGGGCAGCTGGCTGGGCCATTATTGTTTTCACTAATGATATTCCACTGACCTTTAATAAAGCCTGTGTTTCTATGTACGCTGACAACTCAACAGTATACACGTCGGCTACGACAGTAAAATAAATAACTGACACCCTTAACATAGAGCTCCAGTCTATGAGCTCAAGTGTTTGTTAGGTGAGCTCAAGTGTTTGTTAGGTGTTAAGCCAAAAAAGCCATTTTGATTGTGTTGAATTGTGTTTGGGAAATAAAGATGGGCATGGTTTTAAAAAGGTAGTGGTAATACTTCATTCAGTACAGACATTTGTAGGCGGCTTAACTTACCCTGTTTCGCGGCTCAATTTACCCCATACCCGTAAGTTGTGCCAAGAGACCACTTCTTTTCCCAAAACTAATATTTACATGGATTCTGATTATTTCCAAAGATACAACAACATCCTGAAATATCTAGATATCTTTGTTAGAAAACTATTTCCCTTGACGGAGTGATGCTGAATATAAAAAAAATGACTAAATTTACCCCACATCAAATAGGCAACACTACTCTCAAATTCATGGTTTGTTTAGCTACTACTTATCCCCTACAAGCTACAGTCCCACAGAGAGGGATACCATGTTATCTGTCCAGAAGATCTAAATGGTCGTTAGTGACTAATTGTCAGTCAGTCAGTGAGGCTAATTTCACATGGCCACTAGCCATATATGACATCCAGCCTTCAGACAGTACGAGTGTGTTGCTGCTGGTGTGTGTTAGAGCATGCTCCACACGGACAGCCAGGAGATATATACACAGGGCCATGACCTCTCAACCTCAACAGCTGGCGACTCAACTGCCTGAGAGAGGAGCCATGGGTGCTGTTAAAGTAGGGCACACCGTAGGAAAATGATTGCAACGGAAAGCTTAAATCTGTGACCCTATTGGTCAAGAGGTACCTCCCCATTTCAAAAATGTTTTCGCCCTACTGAACATGACCCCTGACTGGCTCTCACTAATCTACATGAGGTTATGGAGTTCAACTTGAGGGAAATAATTATGTTCATGAGGGTCTCTATTTCAACACACTGACCGTTACCCACAAACACCATCACACAGGACAAAAAAACACTAGGCCCCCTATACCATGATCATATGCATTGTATTGAGACAACAAAGGAGAGTTTTGTTGAACCCTTCATCACTCCATCTATCGTCTACAGCTATCCTGAACCTATCAAACCCTAAAAAGGGATGAGATGGTTGAGTCCTCGTGGTGACCGGGACCAGGATACTGGGTTATTGATTGACAGGTCTGTCTTGCCACGTGGAGCTGTGGGATGCCATGCCACTTCAGGGCCTGGTGTGTTACAGTTCACCATGCTATGATAACATCTGGGTTAGGGAAGGACTGATACACACAGGAAGCTCATTGGCTGATGTGGGCCGGTCAGATAGGCCCCTAAGACTACTGACTGGCTTTCTCTGAAAAGACTGTCTGCCAAGGATCCAGAGGTCAATGTGTCATCATCTGGGAGCCATGACAGATGATACACAGTGTATGTCATAGGGTATCAACAGATACTGTAATGTATCTGGTAACATCTATGGTATAGAACCCAGTCATTTAAGTAGTCCCATAGATAATAGGACAAGCAGGAACAGACCAGGATGCAAAGGTAGTTGTGTTCAACCTAATGCATGGTGAGTGAGGTGTGGTGTTCGTTTGCTTGCGGCTGTTTTCACAGATATGCAGCCCCGCCTTGCACAATCAGCAGCCGGATTAGGAATAGAAACAAATGGTTTAAAGGAACTAAGTGACACACCCTGTACTCTATCCGCTCTGCCAAACTAGCATGCTATTAGAGCAAACATGTCCAACAGGACAGGCCTAACAAAGGGAACAGGTACTGATAAATATGACAACACAAGCAGCAAAGGTTAAATCAGAGAAAGTACCAGACATTAACTCAATAAGGCAGTCAGAATAGGAAATGTCAACATGCTACAAATGAGAACATGTGCATAGACGGTCACTAATCTACCTGACCTGACCAGGCCAGCCAAACCATTCATTGATTACCATTGGTTTCATTTTCCCCATTGGGAGGGCGGGTGGTTCTCTGCTGCACTGTGCCATGGGTGAGAGTGAGGTAGGAGTTGACCCTTGAACCATCTGTGTTTTCTCTTTGGTATAAACTATAGCTGGTGTGTTTGCATGGTGTTGAGGCCGGGCCCATGGAGAGGAGTCGAGCAGGGGTGGTGGTGAGGCTCACGATAAGGTGTTAGGGAGTACCAGGCAGTACTCATGGCTAGGCCTGTTACAGTCACACCACTGTCCCAAACTTGTCATTTTATGACTGGACTGTGGAGATTAGAGGTTTACAATCCTGGGTCTGTATAGGACCCTCTGGTTTGTTCTCTACAAGGCACAATGCTGTTGGAGAATGGGAAGGGAGAAGACCGAGGGAGAGTTTTATTGCTGCTGGCCCTTTATCTTTCATTATCTGCCTCTGCTGTGCACCTGCCCTGCCCCAGTGCCTTCAGAACCTGGGAACAGGGTGACGCTGCCCCACCTGTGAGAGAGACCTAGCAGCACAGAGAGCTGAACACGCTTTGCTCCAGGCTGCCTGGCACAGAGCAAGTCAGAGCCTGTATACTATCACTGCACTGATCTGAGGCTCTTCACACTCAATACTGGCCCTAATAAAGGGAGGCCCTAAGACTGACTGGGGTTCAATGAGTCCAAACCACAAGTGTCTTCCAGACAAACCCATTGATCTGAGAACAGCTAAGAAACTAGAACAGGATTCTGACATAAAAATAAAATAAAAAAACTCAATCTTAGGGAGAGAAAGTTGTTAATATGTTGAATGGAAGGCAGGCTACAAATCCACAAGGAACAGTAGTGTTTAAAGTCCCCCCCCCCCCCAATGGAAAGGGTGCAGCCCAGTTCTAATCTCGATTGCCATTTTTCTCCGACTGAATAAATCTTTCACCAAAGAAAACAAATCTGCGTCCTTGGCTAGGCTGCTCTGGCCTTATGACATTGTCAGGTCCACTGAGATATGGTCTCTGCCAGGTTAGTTAGCTATTCCTACCTACAACCCCAAAGGCAGTCTCTCCTATGACTCACATTAGTTGAATGTAGCTTTATCTCCATTCCTCCACTGACTACCTGGCTTAAATCAATAGACACAAATGAATAAACTAAACCTGACCAATGGCAAGAGAAAGTGGCCCAGCAGACAGAGGTAAGCCAGTAAAAAATGGATTGTTCTGGTTAATCTTTAAAGGGTCCACAGACTCACAAAACAAACTGGAATTGGGACGGCTTGCGGGTAGAGAAACTCAAACTACAGATTACTTCAGCAATCAGAAATCAGCAGTGAGAGAGCATCTTGCAGTACGGATCTACTCTAAATCTATATTGTGTCACAAGCCACAACCACAAGAGCACTGTCAAACTCAGGGACCTTATTGCAAAAACATTGTTGTTGTTTAGGAAGGATTGATCACTTCAGCGAACCTGCTTGTGCTTGTTGCATGGGAGAGGACCACAGCACTGAGTCAGACAGCATCTCTAAACCATAACCCTAAATCACTAGGAGAGCCTGGTAATATGGGGTTTTCAATTATGAAATAATGCTGGGGCGGGGATGGGGTTCGGTGTAACTCCCTACCTACAGAGTGCATACAAATACTCTCAGCACTGCAGGTAGAAAGAGCGGTTGAAAAACACGTTTGGCAACATAAGCCCTTCTTTTGTCAAAACATACCTGGGGAGGTGGAACCTGAAAACACATTCACATCCTGGTCATCATAAACAGGAACAGACTGCCTCATCTCACAACTACCTAGCCTGAGAAAACAGGTGCTAGGCTATGGCCAGGGGTCTCCCTCACTCCCCCTCTTTCTCTCTCTCCGTCCTCTCTGCCCAGGAGGCGTGTTTCTTTGCGTTCCCAGGTAAACATTCAGTCTTCCAGATGTCAGCAGCTCGCATCAGTCTGGGACAAGACTAGACCTGCTTGTCTCCCCGTCCCTACCTCAACCCCACGGCAGTCACTGCTTAGCCAAGCAAGCCTACTCAAACCAGCTTCTACACTGGGCCGGTCCCAAATGGCACCCTATTCCCATAGGGCTCTGGTCAAAAGTAGTGCACTATAGGGAATAGGGTGTCATTTTGGATGCAACTACTCACTGCCTGTCAAAGAGCTTAATAGGCCAAACAGCAGCCAACCAATTGGAATAATTGTTAATGGTCAGAAACCTTTCAGGGGTTTCCATTCGCTGAGAAAATCGACACACCTTAACATTTCCCTAAAGCGTCACCATCAAGCTTGTTATGTCCTGTTATCTCCCTCCAGGCGGTTGGCGATGTTAAAGACCATTTGAATGCTGTCAGTCTTATCATGCATGGTTGTTTTTGCCAGTTAAAGTTCAGCCATTATCATATTAGAGATGAAATGCTTTGTTCAGCATCTTAAACTTTTCTTTGGAGTCAGTTTTAAAATATTTAAGTCTTAGAATGCAGGAAAGCAAAGGACAAGACTCGAGATTTTGGTCCTAAACAGGAATCTTCACTATTGGGCCTGAACAGGAATCTTCACTATTAGGCCTAATCAGACAAAATGAGTCTCACCTGTTGCAGAACTTTGTCCAGAGGTTCGGCCTTGTAGAGTTCGTCCACAGACAGCCCAGTCTCCTCTTCACTCTGGTCTGTCAACTCTAAAGTATCGGGCTTCACAAGACGTCTCTGAAGTTTCCCAACCTGTGAACGGAATCGGTGTTTCACCACGGCATGTGCCACCCATTTTAGTTCTAAACTACAGAGTACAGCTTGGTAAAAACGCAACAACTAATTTCCCAAGTCAGTACTAAACATGACAGGCCCATTTTATGAACTCACCGACTATCAAACAAGCAGTTAATTGTCAAACAAGCAGTTAATTGTCAACGCAAAGTTGCCAATGTCAAGGCGTTGACATATAACCAAAAAGGTACGCTTTCTTTCATCCTATATTTAAAGCATTTCACTGAAATTAAATCTGACACAGGTGTAGGCTACACACCCTCAGCCTATCGGTTGGTTTAGTTGAGGCCCATGTGCACACTTATCTTTTAAACTGTGACCCACAAATATTTACAGAACGCGTACGTTTGTTGATTAATATATGTCAGCTGTCAAGTTAAAACATGAGTCCACTACTTAGACACAAAACACTAAAAAGAAGAAACCTTTACAACGGTTGAGAAAGTCCGTACCTTTTTCTCATGTAGATCCACAATTTGCCACACCAAGAGAATTATTTCCCTCTCATCCGAACCCAGTTTACCCCCATTTGCACCAGCTGTTGCCCCAAAGAACACCACCAGAGTATCACTGTGCGAAGCCATCAGGGACCACAAGGGTAAAAACTACAATTAAAAGCAAAGATGAAATAAAAATAACACGAGGGTTCACCTTTTTCCAGTGATAAGGAGCAAACAAAAGGTCTGGAAATTCAATTGAAGTCAAGTAAACGAATAGGGGGAAAGAAAGATTATTTTCAAGAGGACACGAAAGAGATTGCGTTCAAAGACTCTACCTGATCAAGTACTTGAGTGTGTTCTATCCAGAGATACTGGTTTAACTGGTAAAGAAAGTTGGTAAAAATCCGTGTTTTCCTTCACGCGAACTCCATGACAAGCCCTGAAGTTTTTTTTTCCTCTTCCTCGCAATTTTTACGGAGTTACCTGTGTATAGTTCAGCCTCTTACTTTCAGTCAAAGCTCCCAGGGGAGTTGGCCTATTGGCCGCTTGGCAAAGGTGAGGGCGGAACATAGCGCACCAATACCTATGTAACCTAACCTGATTGGTGTAGCACGTTTGAAGGAAGTAGTAGCATATAAGTATCCCGCTGTTCACCACACCTTTGAAGTAGCAAAGCACCTAACGCCTCGAGCACACCAACAGTGATTTTACGTTTTGGGACACCAGAAGTTAAGCTACATTCAAATCAAAATAAAATGTTATTTGTCACATGGTTGGTAAACAACAGGTGTATGCTAACAGTGAAATGCTTACTTACGGCCCTTCCCAACAATGCAGAGAAAAACAAAAATGTATAACAGGAGGAATACATACACATAGACTAACGATAACTTCACTATATACACGGGGTACCATTACCGAGTCGATGTGCAAGGGTACGGGGTAATCGAGCTAGATATGTACATATAGGTAGTGATGAAGTGACTATGAATCAGGATAGATAATAAACAATAGCAGCAGCATATGCGATGAGTCAAATGGGGGTCAATGCAGATAGTCCGGTAGCTATTTGGTGAACTATTTAGCAGTCTTATTATATGTGGTAGAACCTGTTCAAGGTCCTGTTGGTTCCAGACTTGGTGCATCGGTATGGCTTGCAGTAGGGTAGCAGAGAGAACACTGCGTTTGCCTTGCAGCGTTGCTTTGCAGAGGCAGTTGCAGTTGTTCTGTGTGGTGCATTGGTTCGATATATCCAACGTATGCATCAAATTGTGCGTAGACTTGACAGAAATTGTAACAAAAGGTGAATGTTGAACTTTTGTTGAACACATATCCAGTAAAAATTTTGGAATACATATTTAAAAGGTTTGACTGCAGAATTTATTATGCAGCATTGATGCAAGGACGGTGTCGGTCTGATCGAGGCGTAAGAGTTTCACTGCCAGTTTTTGTCAGTGTGTGTGTACTGTGTATGACAATTTATATATATACAGTGAGGGGAAAAAAGTATTTGATCCCCTGCTGATTTTGTACGTTTGCCCACTGACAAAGACATGATCAGTCTATAATTTTAATGGTAGGTTTATTTGAACAGTGAGAGACAGAATAACAACAACAAAATCCAGAAAAACGCATTTCAAAAATGTTATAAATTGATTTGCATTTCAATGAGGGAAATAAGTATTTGACCCCTCTGCAAAACATGACTTAGTACTTGGTGGCAAAACCCTTGTTGGCAGTCACAGAGGTCAGACGTTTCTTGTAGTTGGTAACCAGGTTTGCACACATCTCAGGAGGGATTTTGTCCCACTCCTCTTTGCAGATCTGTGTTTGATGTGCAGGCTTAGGCATGATAATGTTATGATGGTGTAATAATATTAAGATTATGATAAGGATCCAATATTCCTGTGTAGTTGAATGTTACTGTATCTGAAATTCTGAACTTCCCTCTCTGTCCTTTCCCCAGGTCTGGCTCCTCCGGCCTATGCTGCGTTCCCTTCTCCTGCCATGCTCTCTGAGGCTGCTCTGTACCAGCCCCCCCTACTGGCCACCCCCAGAACCCCCCAGCCCCCACACAGCCCCCACCCCACCCTGGCCTACTACCCCCCACAGCACCACCCTGCACAGCTCTACATGAACATGAACATGAACTACACTGCATACTACCCCAGGTTAGTATAAACTACACAGAATACTTACCCAGGTTAGTATAAACTACACATAATACTACCCCAGGTTAGTATAAACTACACTGAATACTACCCCAGGTTAGTATAAACTACACTGCATACTACCCCAGGTTAGTATAAACTACACTGCATACTACCCCAGGTTAGTATGAACTACACTGCATACTACCCCAGGTTAGTACAGTGAGGGAAAAAAGTATTTGATCCCCTGCTGATTTTGTACGTTTGCCCACTGACAAAGACATGATCAGTCTATAATTATAATGGTAGGTTTATTTGAACAGTGAGAGACAGAATAACAACAAAAAAATCCAGAAAAACGCATGTCAAAAAAGTTATAAATTGATTTGCATTTTAATGAGGGAAATAAGTATTTGACCCCTCTGCAAAACATGACTTAGTACTTGGTGGTAAACTCTTGTTGGCAGTCACAGAGGTCAGACGATTCTTGTAGTTGGTAACCAGGTTTGCACACATCTCAGGAGGGATTTTGTCCCACTCTTCTTTGCAGATCTTCTCCAAGTCATTAAGGTTTCGAGGCTGACGTTTGGCAACTCGAACCTTCAGCTCCCTCCACAGATTTTCTATGGGATTAAGGTCTGGAGACTGGCTAGGCCACTCCAGGACCTCAATGTGCTTCTTCTTGAGACACTCCTTTGTTGCCTTGGCTGTGTGTTTTGGGTCATTGTCATGCTGGAATACCCATCCACAACCCATTTTCAATGCCCTGTCTGAGGGAAGGAGGTTCTCACCCATTTGACGGTACATGGCCCCGTCCATTGTCCCTTTGATGCGTTGAAGTTGTCCTGTCCCCTTAGCAGAAAAACACCCCCAAAGCATAATATTTCCACCTCCTTGTTTGACGGCGGGGATGGTGTTCTTGGGGTCATAGGCAGCATTCCTCCTCCTCCAAACACGGCGAGTTGAGTTGATGCCAAAGAGCTCAATTTTGGTCTCATCTGACCACAACACTTTCACCCAGTTCTCCTCTGAATCATTCAGGTGTTCATTGGCAAACTTCAGACGGGCATGTATATGTGCTTTCTTGAACAGGGGGACCTTGCGGGCGCTGCAGGATTTCAGTCCTTCACGGCGTAGTGTGTTACCAATTGTTTTCTTGGTGACTATGGTCCCAGCTGCCTTGAGATCCTTGACAAGATCCTCCCGTGTAGTTCTGGGCTGATTCCTCACCGTTCTCATGATCATTGCAACTCCACGAGGTGAGATCTTGCATGGAGCCCCAGGCCGAGGGAGATTGACAGTTATTTTGTGTTTCTTCCATTTGCGAATAATCGCACCAACTGTTGTCACCTTCTCACCAAGCTGCTTGGCGATGGTCTTGTAGCCCATTCCAGCCTTGTGTAGGTCTACAATCTTGTCCCTGACATCCTTGGAGAGCTCTTTGGTCTTGGCCATGGTGGAGAGTTTGGAATCTGATTGATTGATTGCTTCTGTGGACAGGTGTCTTTTATACAGGTAACAAGCTGAGATTAGGAGCACTCCCTTTAAGAGTGTGCTCCTAATCTCAGCTCGTTACCTGTATAAAAGACACCTGAGAGACAGAAATCTTTCTGATTGAGAGGTGGACAAATACTTATTTCCCTCATTAAAATGCAAATCAATTTATAAAATTTTTGACATGCGTTTTTCTGGATTTTGTTGTTGTTATTCTGTCTCTCACTGTTCAAATAAACCTACCATAAAAATTATAGACTGATAATTTCTTTGTCAGTGGGCAAACGTACAAAATCAGCAGGGGATCAAATACATTTTTCCCTTTTTGTATATATATATATATATATATGAATTTTAGCTTCTCTTCTGACGTGTTTGAAAGTAAAACTCTGTTGCACCATCTATAAAAGAAAATACATTTATGGCCCTCGCTAAAATGGAAATAGTAACACAATAAAATTACAATAACAAACCGATATACAAGGAGTACTGGTACTGAGTCAATGTGCAGGGGTACAAGGTAGTTGAGGTAATATGTACATGTTGGTAGGGGTAAAAGTGAATAGGCAATCAGGATAGATAATAAACGGAGTAGCAGCAGCGTGTGTGTGTGAGAGCATATGTAGTCGTATGTAGTCTATGTGTGCGTTGGAGTGTCAGTGTAGTATGTGTGAGTGTTTGGGTAGAGTCCAGTGCAAGAGAGTCAGTGCAAATAAAAAGGGTGTCAATGCAAATATTCAGGGTAACCATTTGATTAACTGTTCAGCAGTCTTATGGCTTGGGGGTCGAAGCTGTTCAGAGAAACTGGTTGTGTGAGTGACAGCACACCTTTGTGGAAAGGTCATAAAATAACTAAACGGTAAGTCTTGGGCAAATGTCTCATAAAATGCATTATATTTCCTAATGCCTATACATACCTCATAGCTAGGCTACAAGAAAAAAAACTTCTGTGCATTCCCACAGGTACTTGTCCAGGCACATGGCACATGTCTGCTGCCTCTCGGGAGCCTGTGAATGTATCCAGGCTGGTTCAGATGGGTGTTTTGTGCTCTCTGAGCCCTTCATGTACTATAGGTCTATGGAGTGAGTAGTGAGTTTGTAGTCTGAAGTCCAGTCAAGAGTCAGGCATGCGTGTCAATGCAATATTCGGAAACCATTTGATCAACTCGTTCAGCAGTCTTTGCTTTCAAGCTTTCAGAGCTGATGTGTGGTGACAGTCACACTTTGTGAAAGGTTCTCTAAACTAACTTAACGGTTAAGTCTTGGGCAAATGTCTCATAAAATGCATTATATTCCTAATGCCTATACTACATCATAGCTAGGCTACAGAAAAAAAACGTATGTGCATTCCCACAGGTACTTGTCCAGGCACATGGCACATGTCTGCTGCCTCTCGGAGCTCTCTACCCTTCCTCTGTACTATGGTCACTTGGGCTGGGACAATACAAGAAAGCTCTATCTGTCTTCACTCGTTTCCATGTCTCCCAAGCCTAGAGGGCTGGATGCCTTCACATTGAAATTCCTCTTGTGAAGGTCTCTCTCTCTCTCTCTCTCTCTCTGTCTCTCTCTCTCCCCTCCCTCCCACTGAGTGTATGAAACTCAGATGAAAGCTTTTAGGCCCTGCTGTGTCAGAGAAAGTGTGTTTTGACATATATGTGGTGGTTTCTATATTACAGGACTGTGATGTAGGATGGGACTGTGATGTATGATGGGACTCTGATGTAGGATGGGACTGTGATGTATGATGGGACTCTGATGTAGGATGGGACTCTGATGTAGGATGGGACTGTGATGTAGGATGGGACTGTGATTTATGATGGGACTGTGATGTATGATGGGACTGTGATGTAGGATGGGACTGTGATGTATGATGGGACTCTGATGTAGGATGGGACTGTGATGTATGATGGGACTCTGATGTAGGATGGGACTCTGATGTAGGATGGGACTGTGATGTATGATGGGACTCTGATGTATGATGGGACTCTGATGTATGATGGGACTGTGATGTATGATGGGTCTGTGATGTATGATGGGACTGTGATGTATGATGGGTCTGTGATGTATGAGGAGATTGTGATGTATTTCCCACCATGTTTTTATCTACACATAAAGGAAATTGCCATAAGGTAGTCGGCCCCTATGTTTTGTGTTTCCTTCTGTGAGTGTTAATGGTGAGAAACTTAAATTCTGAATGAACTTGTCCTTTCTTTCAAGACTAGAGAGACAATCATACTCTGGCAAGCTGTGACCAAAGGTTTACAGGTGTTTGACACCATGTTAACATTTTCTCACACACTGACGGTTGCTTCCTCATTTTGCACCACACGTTCAGAGCTTGGCAGTGTGCAGTTGAGTGTAGCTTATTACAAGCAACATCAGTGAAGCAAGACGTGTGCCATGGCCATTGGTTAGTTGACAGTCAAATGATGTAGGCAAGCCTCAGGCTGTTTCGGCCTCTGTCAGTGTGACACCAGTGTGATTTTAGTCAGCAGCCCAGGCCCCAGAGCAGTGATGAAGACCAGAAGTGAAACTGTGAACTCCACAGGAGCCACAGGCTCATCCTCACATAGACTGACCAGGCTGGCTGCAACAACCACTGTGATTGGTTAGGCTTAGGTTCAGACAAGACAGGAGCACCTGCTGGGGCAGCAGCCAGCACCACTACACACAGCTGTGATTACTGGAGGCAGTGCCGCAATATCATTTTTCACAAATATACAGAGGGTAAAGGAGACCACCCCACCCCCTTACTGTCAAGTTCGTTGATGAACGGGTCAGACCAAGGCGCAGCGTGATATGCATGCATGTTTATTTGAAACGAATAAACTAACGACACATGAAGTCCACGGTACACAAACAACATACCTCACACGGAACAAGATCCCACAACCCACTAGTACCAATAGGCTGCCTAAGTATTGTCCCCAATCAGAGACAACGAGCGACAGCTGCCTCTGATTGGGAACCACACCGGCCAACATAGATCTAGACATACTAGATCTAAACATAGAAAATCACAACAAGGAATATACACACCCTGACTCAACATATAAGCGTCCTCTGAGTCAGGGCGAGACACTTACATTCAAATTGTACACACTACAGGAGCAGGTGAAAACAATTTAGGCAGTGTTGTCCTGTAATTGGGTTGTGTTGACACAAGCTGCCCTGCCCTGCCCAGTAATTCTTACACTCAGCAAGCTAGAGCAGCCATTACATGTGTGTGTGTGTGTGTGTGCGCCTGCATGTGTGTGGGCGCTTGTGTGTGTGTACGTGTGTCTGAGTGACAGCGTGACACATTGAATAGAGCCAGGCTTACTGGAGCAGGATGAGACAGAGCACCCGTCTGAGGCCCAGCCAAACGCTGTGTGACTCACTCCTTCAGAAGAATACATGCAGAGACACTGTGGAGCCTCTTGACTGTCAACGCGATATAAAACTTCTTACATCTTACCTAATATATAGTGAAATTACACCTTAACATACATATTTTAGGCGGGTTCATTTATAGTTGAATTAAAAGTGAGATAGAAACTGTGCTATTAAATGGAGAGAGAGGGCAATGTCTTGTGAATGTGTCAGAATTCCACAGTCATTGGAAAATAGGTACACTGCCACCTATTGGACTATAAGGACTAATGAATCATCATTTACAATCAATAGTATGATATTGATGTAAATAAAATAAATCCCTATTTGAATAAAATATTTAACTAGATTTAGCTGACATAGGAAACTCCCTAGAAAAACAATGTGGTTTTCTCTCTAATATGATTGTGCCAAAGAGTCGTACAAGATTCCTCTTTTCGTCAGTGGTCAAAGGGGACACAAGGCAGATTTTCATGTTGCAATCTCCGTAGATGAGAGGGAAGTTGAAAGCATGACTCGTGCTGTCGCAGAACAGATGTTAGGTGTAGACCAGAACCACAGAACTAGCAGATTCATACTTTCTGACTGAAAGATAAATTTCGTAACACTTGTAATGGTCTTTGTAACACTTTCAACACGTTTTTTTAAGGGATCTTTTTAAAAATAAGTATTATTTTATTTAATAAACGCACAAATATGACCTAGGGTATATACACATGTTCATTGACTTCAACTATAACAATTAAATGATCAGTATAAAGACAGTAGTAAAGTTCAGTATGACAGCAAGAGGCTGATATCTGTGGTTGCCATTATCATGAAGGCTAAAGCTGTGGATGAAATATATTCCATCCAGATCAGGAGGATCAAAAATAAATGTAGTGAGGCATGGCCTCAAGATAAGCAGCTGAATACATACAGTACACTCAGTCATTATACTCATATCACATAGCTTCAGACAAACATATGCAGTGACATATGTTCTTTTTTTCTATAAAGCTCTTTCTTCTGTGGCACATGGAATATAACATTATTTTGAGCATGAAATGAGCATTATATCACAACTAAAAAATTGGTCAAACACAGTGGGCCTACATCGAAAAACGCGTATTTGTTAAACCTTGAAGTATCATTTCAAATGTTAATTCAAATTCACTACAGGTAAAATGATATACAGTACTTATTTAAATGGTTTTTATATGCATTATGTTTGACATAAACATGATTAACAATTGTTATTCTACATTTTAAGTTAATTAACATATAGAAACAATGTGACAAATCAAACTTTGTAATTTACACACAAAAATCTTTATCAAAAATGTATGATACACATCATATTCAAACTCAGGATGAACCATTTTCACATATATTTATAAGTACATCCATTTGTTCCTTAGGCTCTGTGACACACTGGGAGCTGTGGCTCTGTGTCTGAGAGAAGCTCGGTCTCTTGGTCACAAAGGACAGTTCTTTAGTCCCCTCTCTGGGGGCCGTGCTTGAGATGTGCCAGAACAATTTCTGGATCCCTGTTTCCCTCAGGGAACTCCGGAATGTACGCGCCACAAACACATAAAGCAAAGGGTTGACCGAACTACTGATGAATACGAGGGCTCCAGCGATGAAGGTCATGGTGGTTCTGGCGCTCTCTAGACGCGCTGCGACCTCGCGGTGGGACCCCTTGATGGTGAGGATGACGAGGGAGAGCACGTTGCCCACATGGTGAGGGGTCCAGCATAATGCGAACACCACTACCACGCTTGCAATCAAGCCCGTGGACTTACGCTTGGACTTAAAGGTCATCTGTGCGATGCGGCTGTAGAGACAGCTGTAGCAGACCACAAGAATACATAAGGGGACCGCAAAGCCCACTAGGGTCTCCAGTAGAACACACACTGCCTCCTGGCCATCTGAGGTGTACTCCCTGTACAGGCAATGCTCCTCCCCAGGGTCCCCCTCCACCACCTGGGTGGGAAAGACCGGGATGCTGAATAGAAACGCAGCAGCCCACAGAACAAGAAGAACTTTATTCAAGGCCTTCTTCCTCCTCCAGCCGGCTGAGGCAAAGGGGTGTCGCACAGAGGCGAAGCGCTCAACGCTCATGAGGGTGATGAGGAAGACACTGCTGTACATGCAGGCGTTGATGACATACACCATGGCCTTACAGGAGGCCTCCCCGAACACCCAGGAGCGGGCCAGGGAGTAGATCCACAGAGGCAGGGTGATGAGCACCAGCAGGTCTGCAGCAGCCAGGTTGAGGATGAGCACCACGGTGTGGGAGCGCTGCTGGACGTGCCTCAGGATGGTCCAGATCACCAGCAGGTTCCCCGGGACCCCCACCAGGAACGACAGGCCCAGGATCACACAGGCCACCGCAGTTCTGCCAGCAAACTCATCAGGAGCCATGGTGGACTCTGAAGCTGAAGACAGCTGATGATCGAACGGTTCTGGTTGATGCTGCCGATCGCCTTGCCTCACCTCGCCTTACATGCCTCCTATCTGGTGTACATACTCAGACAGAAAAAAAGTGCTGCACCAGCAAGCTTTCACTTCCCTTTAACTTTGCGGAGGAGAGCAGGAAAGAGGTTGGTTTTTCACAGAGCCATCATTCTGTGAGAGACAGAGCAGTGAGTCATCCAGTGGGTCCTTATTGTGGCACTGTCTGGAAAAAGAATCTTCTAAGATATTTTAAGAGGTCAAAGAATTGTATTGACCACAAATTACTTTTATTGAAGTGATATGAACTTGAGATCAGATTGTTTTATTTTATTGTGATCAAATAGAGTAAGCCAGTGTGTTATTTTGGGAAACAGGAATTTCAAGACAATAATATTCAAGGAATTGTAACAGGACCACGAATAAATGTTATTTAAGTTATACCACTTTATGAGCAAATGCAATAGCTTTATTGTGTTGAAATAGTCACCATTTAATTACTTTGTGGGCTTTTCTCACTGTATTTCACAAGCACTACAACAATCTCTAGATTTCGTACCATGATCATAAAAATCAAACTTGTAATCAAACTTCTAGATTCTAGCCATATTTATTATCATCAATGCTGACATCTGAATCATTGATCAGGTCACAGTTTTCATTTGTCATTTTAGTAATTTAGCAGGCGCTCTTATCCTACACATTTTGCCATGGGGCAGAGAGAATGTTTTAAAACTAGTTTCCTGCAATTCTACACATTTTGTCATGGGTCTGAGAGAAAAATTGATCCAGAATGCTCTTATCCAGAGCGACCATTTATGTAGTCCTACACAGTAGTTCTATCTGTGGTATTGTTGCAGTCTGGCATTACTGAGGGCATTGTGTTGTCCGATCCTGTTGTGTTGTCCGATCCTATTGTGTTGCCAGATCCCCTTAGCTTGGAGGAGGTGTGTGAGGCGACTTCCTGGAACAGCCTGACCATGCGGGACTCCTGGAGACTGCCCTGGAAGTTCCTCGCAGCGAAGGTATAGAACACAGGGTTCACAGAGCTACTAATGAAGGCCAGCGCTCCAGAGATAAACACTACTGCACTCTGGACCACTGAAACAGGCACAGCATCATCTGGATCCTCTGTCAGAATGCTGACTAGGCTTACAGTGTTGAGGACATGGTGAGGAAGCCAGCAGAGAATGAAGGCTACCGCCACACTACTGATGAGAACTGTCGACTTCTGTTTGCTGCTGCCGAAATGCATTGTCTTCAGGTGTGTTGCTACTAGACAGTAACAGACAGCCAGGGTGGAGAAGGGGACCACAAAGCCCACCAAGGTCTCCAGGCATAAGAACACCACCTCTTGGGCCACTGAGCTGTACTCCGTGAAAAGACACTGCTCAGTCCCATCGATCTCATCGATAGAGCGGGTCAGAATGGATGGGATCCCTAAAAGGAAAGCCAGAGCCCAGATAGCCACCAGAGCCTTGTCCATAATGGCCTTGGTCTTCCAGCGCAACATCTTGAACGGGTACCGGATGACAAGGAAGCGCTCAACGCTCATGAGGGTGATGAGGTAGACGCTGCTGTACATGCAGGTGTTGATGACGTACACCATGGCCTTACAGGAGGCCTTCCCGAACACCCAGGAGCGGGCCAGGGAGTAGATCCACAGCGGCAGGGTGATGAGCACCAGCAGGTCTGCAGCAGCCAGGTTGAGGATGAGCACCACGGTGTGGGAGCGCTGCTGGACGTGCCTCAGGATGGTCCAGATCACCAGCAGGTTCCCCGGGACCCCCACCAGGAACGACAGGCCCAGGATCACACAGACTACTGATCGCCCTATGGTTGACATTTCATTAAACAATGCATCATCATTGTCTGAGATGGAGGAGCTCGAGCTGTTCATTTTGCACTGCAGTCAACTGCTGTTTCCTAAGAAATAATGATGTTGTTTGGGGAGTAGTTCCTTATATCACCCTTGGCCTCGTAAGCAGTAATGGTCACTTTACTTCTGTAATAGTACAAACAAGAGTTTCTGTCTGAGTGTGACAGGAAAGCAATGTGGTTAGCTAGATGTGACAAAGTAAAATGTACAGGATGTTAAATATTTTTTAACCGTTTTTATGTATTATTTTTGTATTTATTTGTTACAGTAGATTATGTACGCCTTCCCCATTACAGTTTACACAATAATTGTTTTTAGTGCATGAATGCATTGTGTTGGGTGCATTTTACATTGACCCCCTTCACCCCCACTTTTTTTGCACTGACTCTCTTGCACTGGCTCTATGCACACTCAATAGACTCTACCCACATATAATACGCTGACACTCCAACACACACACACTGTCACGATCGTCATATGGAACAGACCAAGGCGCAGCGTGATAAAACAAACTACTTTAATAGTTAAAGTTTAAAACTCATACAAAACAAGAAACGACTCGTGACGTCAACGGTATCAATGACCGAACACGGAACAATTTATTTAGAGAATGATCACACGATCAAAACAACAGACGATAACGTGATGTCTACGGTTTAACACAAACCAAATAAGAACAAGAAACCACAAATAATGAATGCCTAACGGCTACCTAAGTATGACTCCCAATCAGAGACAACGAGCTACAGCCGTCTCTGATTGGGAGCCACCCTGGCCAACATAGATATACAACAACTAGAACATAAACAAATGAAAACTCACACCCTGGCTCAACATACTAGAGTCCCCAGAGCCAGGGCGTGACAGTACCCCCCCCTAAAGGCGCGGACTCCGACCGCGCCAACCAAATACAACAGGGGAGGGACGGGTGGGCACTCCGCCTCGGCGGCGGATCCGGCTCCGGACATGACCCCCACTCCTTCTCTAACCCCCCAAAGTACCCCTGGTCCGGTCTGGCCCTGCTGACCAGAGCTGAACTGAACACTGGTGGAGCGGATTGCTCTAGCTCCGGCGTGACGCAGCAACTGACCGGTGCCGGACCCGCCACCGGTGGAACAGGCACGGGCCGTGCCGGGCTGACGACGCGCACCACTGACTTGGTGCGGGGAGCAGGAACGGGCCGGACAGGGCTGACGAAACGCACCACTGACTTGGTGCGGGGAGCAGGAATGGGCCGGACTGGGCTGGCGACGCGCACCACAGACTTGGTGCGGAGAGCAGGAATGGGCCGGACTGGGCTGGCGACGCGCACCACTGACTTGGTGCGGGGAGCAGGAATGGGCCGGACTGGGCTGGCGATGCGCACCGTAGACTTGGTGCGAGTGGCAGGAACAGGCCGGACCGTACTGGGAACACACACCACTGGCCCTACGTGGGGATCAGGAACAGGCCGGACCGGACTGGCAACACACGCCAGTACCTCTCGCCGTGCCTCTACATCTTCCACCCCCTCTTCGACCAGTGGCCCCCGTAACCTGGCGGCCTCCTCTGCCAATCCGCTGGCCCGTCGTCCACGACGTTAGCCCCCCCCTAAAAATTTTCTGGGGGTCTCTCTTCCCCGTGGGCCAGGCCTCTATATTTCTCGCCCAACTCTCGCTCTCCTGCTTCCAACTCCAGCCATTCTGCTCCTCCTTTGGCTTGACCCAGTCGAGACTCTTCCTCCACTGTTCCCAAGTCCACCCTCTCTGCTCCTCACTAGGCTTGACCCAGTCGAGGTTGCCACGGAGATCTGCTAGCGATCTCCCTGGTGATGGCTCCTGGACACGCTGCTTGGTCCAGTCTTGGTGGGTTTTTCTGTCACGATCGTCATATGGAACAGACCAAAGTGCAGCGTGATGAACAAACATACTTTAATTAGTTAAAGTTTAAACTCAATACAAAACAAGAAACGACTCGTGACGTCCAACGGTATCAATGACCGAACACGGAACATATTTATTTAGAGAATGATCACACGATCAAAACAACAGACGATAACGTGATGTCTACGGTTTAACACAAACCAAATAAGAACAAGAAACCACAAATAATGAATGCCTAACGGCTACCTAAGTATGACTCCCAATCAGAGACAACGAGCTACAGCCGTCTCTGATTGGGAGCCACCCTGGCCAACATAGATATACAACAACTAGAACATAAACAAATGAAAACTCACACCCTGGCTCAACATACTAGAGTCCCCAGAGCCAGGGCGTGACACACACACACACACACACTACATACACTCACACACACAAAACCCACAGACACTTGCATATTGATGCCACACACTCACACATAGACACACTTTCACACTTTTTCACTCTCTTCACAAGCGCTGCTGCTACTCCGTTTATTATCTATCCTGATTGCCTATTCACTTTTACCCCTACCAACATGTACATATTACCTCAACAACCTTGTACCCCTGCACATTGACTCGGTACCGGTACTCCTTGTATATACTGTAGCCTTGTTATTGTTATTTTATTGTGTTACAATTGTTCCTTTTTTATTTAGCAATTTTTTTCTTACTTTTTAACTCTGCGTTGTTAGGAAAGGGCTTGCAAGTAAGCATTTCACAGTAAAGTCTACACCTGTTGTATTCGGCGCATGTGACAAAAACATTTTATTTGACATAGAGTTGACTATTTTTATTGTTATAATTGATTACTGTACTGCATTGTTAAGGAAGCTAGCGCATAAGCATTTCACTGCACCTTTTATACCTGCTGTAAACAGTGTTTGTCATGAATTAATTACATTTTTGATTACATTTTTCGGTTGAGTAGGTTACGCTCTAAATGTAATCTGTTACAAAATTGTTATCAGTAATGTAACAAGGATTAAACAAACTCAGTAACATAATCTGATTACTTTCACAGTTACTAGTTACCTGTCCAAAATTGTAATCAGTAACATTACTTTTGGATGACTTTTCCCTTAAAATGCATTAGCATAAAGATAAGGTGGAACAAACTTAAACTTGCACCTTTTTTCAATGTTGAATTGAAAGTCATTGAGAAAACAGAAAGATATCATAATTTATTTTTTGCAAACATTCTTTCTGAATTAAAATGTAATCCAAGAAGTAATCATCTCCTTTTTCAAAAGTATCTGTAATCTTATTGCAATATTTTTTTGCTGGTAAAGTAAGTGATTACAGGTAATTGTTTTTAATAATTAGATTACATGTAATTGATTACGTGTAATCAGTTACTCCTCAACCCTGATTTTACTGGACAACATTGCACTTGACACACTTTTATTTTGAAAGTTGTTGTGATGACGCTCGGAATTTCATGACCTGGGTCTCTTGCATAGATTGTATATCTCCAGCCAGAGAGAAATAAACAAGATGTCGTCAACATATGCCGCGTTCATACACTAGACGGGACAAGGAAACGTCCTAACTGGTTGTAGTTGTACACGTGCCGCGGTCAACGAACTAGCAAGTCGGACATTTCCGAGTTTTCTAGTTCCGACCAGTATGTGAATGCAGCATTAACCACGGATCGGGGAATTTCAACGTAGTCTACTGTCAACCTCTACAAGAGGATATTGGATGTTGGACATTAAGTTAGCTAGTTAATGTCAAATTGATCAATTTGTAAGTTGAGTGAAATGTCTTTGCTCAAATATTAACCAGACTGGTTTGGTTTATTTCATAATCTCCAGCTAGCTAACTAGCTAGTTGCTAATGCTAGCTAGTTAGCAACCTCTCTGCCGAGGACGGAAACGTCAAATAGATTCTGGAACAGGTAGCTAGCTAAATTAGTTAGTTAACTAACTAGCTAGAGAGTTTGGACTTTTTAACTAGACAGTCAGCAAGCTAAAGTGCTAGTTTATAAGCAATGTCAGGTCCTTTATTTGAGTTTGTTTTATTTGATATATATAACATTGGGTAGCTAGCTAGCTGTCTAAACTTGTAGCGAACAGCTAGCTTCCATGCTAACATTAGCCTAGCACGCACTAGCGAGCTGGACCAAAATGGGCGTTGTTTTGGTAGCGGTAGGTAGGTAGTTAGTTAGCTAGCTAATAACAATTTGAACTTAGCCAGCAAGTTTAGCTGCTCAGCTAGCCCTCCACAACTGTCTCTGGCCAGTGAAACAACACTATAAACTAGAACTAGACAGAGAGGGCTTTTTGCTCAGGCTTACTACCGTTACACTAGCTAGCTAGTTCCATTCATTACCATTACCTACAGTAGCCTAACTGATTTGTTTTCTGTCCCTGCAGGTTGTTGACAGAGCAAAGGTGTGGTGGAAATCAGTGTCAAGCCTATTAGGCCTAACTTCACAAGTCTTGTGTGTGAGAGACCTCCAACATTAACATTCCAATGCCTCTGCTATTCCTGGAGAGGTTTCCCTGGCCAAGTCTGCAGACCTACACAGCGCTGAGTGTGGCTCTGCTGGCTGGAAGCATCTTCAGCGCTTACACTACTGTGACAGAACAGGGGTTCGGGGTTCCAGACATGGACGAGCCTCCCCCACCTGCCCCCTTAGAAGGAGATAATAGAGGTGGCCAAGGCCTAGAACATGTGACTAGTGATGATGTTGTGGGTGCAGATACAGAATTGGCAACCACTGTTATGTGGTACCTGGTCACTGACAGTCTCTTTGTATGGGTAAGTCTTATTCAAGATAGGCTCAACTCAGCCAAGCAGACAATATTGTTGTTACGTTACTTAGTTGTCACTTGGTTGCTAAGTGGTCTACTCTTCTCTACTCCTCAGGTGTTGGTGAATACAGCATGCTGTTCTCTGATGTTAATTGCTAAGATGATCCAGTGCATGGTTTTTGGGCCCCTCAGAGTCAGTGAGAAGCAGGTGAGTCTTGGAGTTGTGGTGGTAACCTAATAACTGGTATTTGATAAGCCTTGTGTGTGCTCACATGTCAACGTGGTACTTGCATGTTTTCTCAAGCGTCTGCTTTTTGGCATGTCGCCTTATTGAAGGTTAGGCATCTGACTGTGTGTCTATAAACTATAGTACAAATGTCCTCCACAAATAGTCTGGAAAACAAGATCTTAGCATTGAAATCCACACTGGTGGTTTGAGTCTATTAGTGTACTCTGACCACTCCATCCATGTTCTAATGTCTTGACCTCTCCTCTCTCCACCCCTCTCCCTTACCATCTCCTCTCTACTCCACTCCCCTCAGCACCTGAAGGACAAGTTCTGGAACTTCATCTTTTATAAGTTCATCTTTATCTTCGGGGTGCTGAACGTTCAGACGGTGGAGGAGGTGGTCATGTGGTGTCTGTGGTTCTCTGCCCTGGTCTTCCTCCACCTCATGGTCCAGCTGTGCAAGGACCGCTTTGAATACGTACGTCTCATCAACCTCTAACAGTACATTTTAGTCACTTAGTAGACGCACTTATCCAGAGCGACTTACATTAGTGCATTCATCTTAAGATAGCTAGGAGAGACAACAACGTATCACAATCGTAGCAAGTACATTTTCCCTCAACAAACCTCTATTTCTGTTGATAATAATAGTACATTTTATGGTAACACTTTACTGTAGGTGTCCTTATGAATGCATTCATAAAGCCTTTATAACAGCTATATAACACATCATTTGTCATAAGTAGTTTTAAATAGTTATGAGTAACGACATGATATGTTATAAAAGTAGTTATAATGGGTAACAACTGCTATTACACAGTCTGCATGACAACTTATTACAGTACTGAATAAAAAACTGAAATACACTGAAATGATAAAATGTAGATGGGCCCACCCACTGTACTATAGGGAGAGTGACCTTGTTGACTTGTTTACACTGTAAACATATATACCTCTGTTAGATGTCAGTGATATGAAGCTGTTGGCTATACATTCAGTCACAGTGACTGCCATAGACCGGGTCTCTTTCAGGTCCAGACCAGACCTATTAATAAGCTAGTTCTTGCTGTATGTATGTAGGCCAGGGTCTTAGGTTTAGCTAATGTTTCAGTCACTTCATAGACTCAAACTACAGAGTGGGGGACTACAGATGAAAATGAGCTGTCTGGCTAAATCTGGTGTAATGGGATGTTGTACATGGTCCCTGACAAATAAATGTAATAATACAAAAAAAAGTATTAACATTTAGGCCTATTAGATAGTGTGCTGTAGCTATATGAGAGGAAAACAGAACATCACACCACATTGCATTGTGAAGAATGACACCTCTCTGTCTGCAATCAATGGTTGTTAGGTTTTCCCCTTATCATATCAACTGACATAATACCTGTTGGAATGCTGTACTTTGTTGCTAAAAGTTGGATCAGAGCCTGTTAGCTTTTCATTGCATAACAAGCCTGGATGTGCGTCACTGTACCTGTGTCAGTATTCTTGTGTGTCACTAGACTGGTTTTTTGAGCATGTGTTAGTAGGACAGTATGGGGCTGCAGTGACACTGCCCAGATAAAGCTTACCTCTTGACCAAAAAACATGCTCAACTGGAAAATCTATTGAAAGAGTAGCCATGAAGTCTGCAACCTCCCCTAAATTGTCATTGTGTGTGTTGGTCGCTCTTTGTGTGAAAGTACAAGTTATATGTAGGTGTGCATGTCCGTCTACATCTGTGTGTGTTTGTCTTAGTAATCTCTCTTTCTGTACAGTAGGTTAATGTGTACCTGTTCCCCCCCTGCAGCTGTCCTTCTCCCCCACTACTTCTATGAACAGCCATGTACGTGTCCTGGGTCTACTGGTATCCCTGCTGCTGGGCTGCTGTGGTCTGGCTGTGGTCTGTGGCCTGCTGGGCGCTACCCATGGCATGCACACCCTCTCCTTCATGGCTGCTGAGGTGAGGACCAAGCCCTAAAGAGCTCGCCAGCTTGTAGTTCTAAAAAACGTAAATGAGTAACCTCTGGTTCGTTCGGCCGTTCCTATGGGGAAAGAATCGGGTTTTGGAATAGAAAAAAAAAAAAGCAAAAAATAACACAGACTTAGGAGATGTTATACGTTTTGTTCTATGAGACAGTATCAGTCCGTTAACATGACCTTTATGAATTATGAAGCCTTTATGTTCTTTTCTGATGACAAATGCTTAAAAATTCACAAAAAGGGAAGTTAGCTGATGAAGATTATCTCATAGAACAAAACGTATAAGATCTCCATACCTGTGTTTACCACAGACCTTATTTCTGGCGTTGATCCAAAAACCCTACAAAAACTCAATTCATTTCCCAATAGGCTTTGTCCAATGAACCATGGCGGAGTTAGTGCCTACAAAAAGACCCCATTACTATTGCTCTATATTGGGCGGAAGGTATTTCTATAGGCACACCCATTGGTGTAGACTAGAGCAGGACTGGCTAAACCTCCTGGGGAGTTGGGACTACCATCCTGCAGGAGTTTGTTCCAGCTGTTGTTTTATTGTAAGTTACAGTAACAAGGCGGTTTACTCAGTCACAAATTAGTAATACATAATTGTCATCAGTTCCTTTCTTGTGGGAAACAGTTCTAAAATCAAGGTATTGTATAAAATACTTATGTATAATTCATATCTCTTTCTCTTGTCTTTCAGTGTCTGCTGGTCACTGTGCGGACTGGACATGTCATCATGAGGTAAGGTCCTTTCTTTCAGAATGCAGACCCTCTTGCACACCACCACAGCAACACAGATGACATAGCAGATCTAGAATGAACCAGTTCTATTATTAGCGTGCTGTTAGATGTGTTACCATGAGCACCCGTTGAAAGACTGCTTTGTACTACAGAGGGTGATCAGGATGACTTACAGGCAGCTGTATTTATTGGAGTGGTTCATTAATTAGTTAGGTTAAACCCTGTAAACAGTAGCCAGGTGTATGAGTTGTTGCTTTGCTTTGTGTTGTGTGGATACCCATAGCATTAAGTGCCTATCAGAGTCCAAAACTTGTACGCGTATGCATAGCAGTGTACTTTTCGAATTCTCAACGCAGCTCAATCAATTTCTCCAACTGTCAACACATTGAAATGAATAGAAGGACGTGTGCGCAGAGCTGCGTTGGTTGGGAATTTTGGGGAGGTGCACGTTCGGGCTGGCCCAGTGAGAGTTAAGCTAAGTGATGATCTACAACGACTGATTAGCGCAAGCAAAAATAAGTTAGTCTGGCCTTAATGGCTATATACTCTTATCTCCATCTGGCACAGTCAGAAGAGGACTGGCCACCCCTCAGAGCCTGGTTCCTCTCAAGGTTTCTTCCTAGGTTCCTGCCTTTCTAGGGAGTTTTTCCAAGCCACTGTGCTTCTATATCGGCATTGATTGCTCTTTGGGGTTTTAGGCTGGGTTTCTGTATTAGCACTTAGTGACAACTGCTGATGTAAAAAGGGCTTTATAAATACATTTGATTTGTAGTGTGTACAATTCAAAAGCATAAGTGCAAAAATGTCAAAATAAAAAGGCATTATTGTGACTTGGGCAGGTTTCTGACTGTCTGTTTCTCTGCAGGTACACCATCCACCTGTGGGATCTGAAGCACCCAGGCACCTGGGAGAGTAAGGGCTCCTACGTCTACTACACTGACTTCATCATGGAGCTGTCTATGTTGTCCCTGGACCTTATGCACCACATCCACATGCTGGTGAGTAACAGAGCTGGGAGCACTACGGGCTGGTGTTAGTAAGGGAACTAACTGCACTACCGAGAGGCCCACAAGATGGCTGACTGAACTAGCCTGAATTTAAAACAAGGGCTCTATCTCAATTTGTCTTTCTGCGATTCCTTGCATTCCATCTCCTCTACTCCTCAACTATATTGGAGGAGAAGGTCCATGGTCTCTCCTCTCAGATGATGAGAGTAATCAAGGAAAGATTAATTGAGATAGAGCCACAGTATTCAGTTAGATGAGTTGAGTATGATCTTAGAGCTGTGTTTAACATTGGACACCCCTGTCTCCCCTCAGCTCTTTAGTAATATCTTAGAGCTGTGTTTAACATTGGACTCCCCTGTCTCCCCTCAGCTCTTTAGTAATATCTTAGAGCTGTGTTTAACGTTGGACTCCCCTGTCTCCCCTCAGCTCTTTAGTAATATCTTAGAGCTGTGTTTAACGTTGGACTCCCCTGTCTCCCCTCAGCTCTTTAGTAATATCTTAGAGCTGTGTTTAACGTTGGACTCCCCTGTCTCCCCTCAGCTCTTTAGTAATATCTTAGAGCTGTGTTTAACTTTGGACTCCCCTGTCTCCCCTCAGCTCTTTGGTAATATCTTAGAGCTGTGTTTAACGTTTGACTCCCCTGTCTCCCCTCAGCTCTTTAGTAATATCTTAGAGCTGTGTTTAACGTTGGACTCCCCTGTCTCCCCTCAGCTCTTTGGTAATATCTTAGAGCTGTGTTTAACATTTGACTCCCCTGTCTCCCCTCAGCTCTTTAGTAATATCTTAGAGCTGTTTTAATGTTTGACTCCCCTGTCTCCCCTCAGCTCTTTAGTAATATCTTAGAGCTGTGTTTAACGTTGGACTCCCCTGTCTCCCCTCAGCTCTTTAGTAATATCTTAGAGCTGTTTTAACGTTTGACTCCCCTGTCTCCCCTCAGCTCTTTAGTAATATCTTAGAGCTGTGTTTAACGTTGGACTCCCCTGTCTCCCCTCAGCTCTTTAGTAATATCTTAGAGCTGTTTTAACGTTTGACTCCCCTGTCTCCCCTCAGCTCTTTGGTAATATCTTAGAGCTGTGTTTAACGTTGGACTCCCCTGTCTCCCCTCAGCTCTTTAGTAATATCTTAGAGCTGTGTTTAACGTTGGACTCCCCTGTCTCCCCTCAGCTCTTTGGTAATATCTGGCTGTCCATGGCCAGTCTGGTGATCTTCATGCAGCTGAGGTATCTGTTCCATGAGGTGCAGCGCCGCGTCCGACGCCACAAGAACTACCTCCGTGTCATCAACAACATGGAGGCCAGGTCTGTCTACTGATCAGCCCACTGACAGCTCTCACTGTCCTGTATATAATACAGCTCTTATTAGATGATGGGTGGTGTTCTTTCACGCTTAGCTGTGACTCTGTGTATGAAGCTGTTGTTGTTTGAATCTAGTCTCTCTGCTTTCATATGACGGGCTATCTAGCTATTAGCTATTTACAGTTGAAGTCGGAAGTTTACATACACTTAGGTTGGAGTCATTAAAACTCGTTTTTCAACCACTCCACACATTTCTTGTTAACAAACTATAGTTTTGGGCAAGTCGGTTAGGACATCTACTTTGTGCATGACACAAGGCATTTTTCCAACAATTGTTTACAGACAGATTATTTCACTTATAATTCACTGTAGCACAATTCCAGTGGGTCAGAAGTTTACATACACTAAGTTGACTGTGCCTTTAAACAGCTTGGAAAATTCCAGAAAATGATGTCATGGCTAATTTACATCATTTGAGTCAATTGGAGGTGTACCTGTGGATGTATTTCAAGGCCTACCTTCAAACTCAGTGCCTCTTTTCTTGACATCATGGGAAAATCAAAAGAAATCAGCCAAAACTTCAGAAAAAGAATTGTAGACCTCCACAAGTCTGGTTCATCCTTGGGAGCAATTTCCAAACGCCTGAAGGTACCATGTTCATTTGTACAAACAATAGTACGCAAGTATAAACACCATGGGACCATGCAGCCATCATACCGCTCAGAAAGGAGACGCGTTCTGTCTCCTAGAGATGAACGTGCAAATCCACCCCAGAACAACAGCAAAGGACCTTGTGAAGATGCTGGAGGAAACTGGTACAAAAGTATCTATATCCACAGTAAAACGAGTCCTATATTGACATAACCTGAAAGGCCGCTCAGCAAGGAAGAAGCCACTGCTCCAAAACCGCCATAAAAAAGTCAGACTACAGTTTGCAACTGCACATGGGGACAAAGATCGTACTTTTTGGAGAAATGTCCTCTGGTCTGATGAAACAAAAATAGAACTGTTTGGCCATAATGACCATCGTTATGTTTGGAGGAAAAAGGGGGATGCTTGCAAGCCGAAGAACACCATCCCAACCGTGAAGCACAGGGGTGGCAGCATCATGCTGTGGGGTTGCTTTGCTGCAGGAGGTACTGGTGCACTTCACAAAATAGATGGCATCATGAGGAAGGAAAATTATGTGGATATATTGAAGCAACATCTCAAGACATCAGTCAGGAAGTTAAAGCTTGGTCGCAAATGGGTCTTCCAAATGGACAATGACCCCAAGCATACTTCCAAAGTTGTGGCAAAATGGCTTAAGGACAACAAAGTCAAGGTATTGTAGTGGCCATCACAAAGCCCTGACCTCAATTCTATAGAACATTTGTGGGCAGAACTGAAAAAGCGGGTGCGAGCAAGGAGGCCTACAAACCTGACTCAGTTACACCATCTCTGTCAGGAGAAATGGGCCAAAATTCACCCAACCTATTGTGGGAAGCTTGTGGAAGGCTACCCGAAAAGTTTGACCCAAGTTAAACAATTTAAAGGCAATGCTACCAAATACTAATTGAGTGTATGTAAACTTCTGACCCACTGGGAATGTGATGAAAGAAATAAAAGCTGAAATAAATAATTCTCTCTACTATTATTCTGACATTTCACATTCTAAGACAGGGAATTTTTACTAGGATTAAATGTCAGGAATTGTGAAAACTGATTTTAAATGTATTTGGCTAAGGTGTATGTAAACTTCCGACTTCAACTGTAGCTATTCATGAGACTAGTAAAGAGGTTGATCTAGATTTCTTATGCTCTGTACCTCTCAGGTTTGCAGTGGCCACAGCAGAGGAGCTGGTAGCCAACAACGATGACTGTGCCATCTGCTGGGACACCATGCAGACAGCACGCAAACTGCCCTGCGGACACCTCTTCCACAAGTAAGAGACTGACCCAGCCAACTATGGCACCTCTAAAAACCCAGGAGTCATTATTTCCTCACACTTGATTGAATGTGGCATTATGTGGGTGATGTTTTGAATGACACTAAGCGACTGCTTGAGTTTCTCTGGGCTCATAATATGTACATTAACATTCCTGTTTGTTCTATTCCTCAGTTCCTGCCTGCGGTCGTGGCTGGAGCAGGACACGTCGTGTCCAACATGCAGGATGTCCCTGAACATCAGTGGTGATGGGGGCCCGGCCAGGGGCCAGCAGCAGGGGGCTGGCCTCCCACTGGAGAACAACCTGGGCCCCGGAGGCCCCGCTGCAGACGCCAGACCACACCTCAACCAGCACAATCACTTCTTCCACTTTGATGGTAAGGCCCATACAGACTTGTTTTTACAACACAGGTGCTCCCACTGAATGGACTACTCTATTGAGTATGGTTGATGATGATGATGAAGTGTATATGAGTTCTGGCATACAACTTGCTGATAGTCACATAGACAGACATCACAATATTAGAAACATTACATGTAGTGCACATTTCAGGTAGAGATAATTGTGGTGATGTCTCCTCCCAGGCTCCCGCATCGCCAGCTGGCTGCCTAGTTTCTCAGTAGAGGTGATGCACACCACTAACATCCTGGCTATCGCTCAGCAGGCCAACAACTCTCAGCTCAACACCATGGTGAGTCACAGCCTTACTCTAATCCCCTCCCGAGACACCAGGGGATTCTCCTTTCAGCATGCTTTTTAGTCCTGGACTAGGTTTAATGTGTCCGCCAAAACAGTTTCCAGGGGGTCTCGCAGGCATCATCTGAGCTTTGAATATTGTTTTTACACCTGCCCTTCATCAACAGCTTTGTTTTCAATGTATTAATTGCAGCAATATGACTTCTATAGAATGTAGGTGGCTGCTGGGTAACGTAGTGTTCTACTCCCCACAGGCCCATCAGATCCAGGAGATGTTTCCTCAAGTTCCCTACCACTTGGTGCTGCAGGACCTGCAGTTGACCCGCTCTGTAGAGGTCACCACCGACAACATCCTGGAGGGACGCATCGTGGTGCCCTTCCCTGCTCTGGTAGGTCCTCCAGTTCAGTTCATTGGGTATTTTGGCCATGGTGGTCCACATAGAGATCCCAGAAGGCCTACACTTTCTCCTTGTGTGTGATTGTACTGCCTCATTCTTAAGGTTAGGTAGAAAAATAGAGGGCATGAGTTCAGGTTCTGGTCAAATGTGATTAAAGATGTCTCTGACTTGCCTCTCCCCCTCGAGGCGGCTGAGCGTTCCCCCCTGCAGGTGAACCCAGGCCCAGAGGAGGGGGCAGGAGCCAGTGGGGGGGTGGAGACGGCCCCCAGCGAGCTGAACAACCTGGAGGTCAGAGGGAGCCGCTTCTCCAAGTCTGCAGAGGAGAGACAAAAGATGTTGCTGCAGAGGAAGGATGAGCTGCTACAACAGGCACGCAGGTACTGTACTGTCACCACTGGCAATACTAGACCAGTCTGTCAAATGACATGGGTGTATTCAGTGAGGGGAAACCTTCACAGCTTTGCAGATAGAAATATAGCTAACCCTATTCAACTTGGCAGATAATCATATCTTTCTACACAATCCATTTTCTATCTGAATGTTTTGCAACATGACCGGGCATCCTGACCAGGCCTCAGCTGACAATCTTTTCAAAATAAGAGTCTTATTAGATAAGAGCAAACACTTGTTGCTATCTTGGTGGTTGTTTTCTTGTCTGTTAGGTCAGGGTTCAGTCTCTGGCCCTGTAACTGAGTAACTACAGTAGCAGAATATATCTATTGTAACTAAATGACTGTGAGATCACGGTCATGTTCATAATGACACATCATAGCAAAAGTTTAGCAAAATGAATGTTTCTTATTAGACTGGTTCTGACAGTTTCTCCCTGCTACACTCTGTTTCTGAGCATTTTCTTCCGTTTCGTGTCTACTGAACACAACCCATATCAATTCATTTCCCCACAGGAGATACTTGAGAAAGAGCCCAGAGGATGAGGAGGACCTGCCCACTCTGGAGGAAGACGCCCCTGTCTCAGACCTGACCATGTTGAGACGCAGGACCATGGCAGCAGCTGCAGAGAGACGCATGCAGAGCCAACCAGACCCTGCTCCCTGAGTCTATACTGGACTGTAAACTCCCACCTGGACAGTCTCGCCTCAAACCCACATCTAATACCCTTGGAGTGTCCACCAAACTCCCCACGTCCCACCTAAGAGGCACAGCCACCTCCACCGAAAGAGCTAGTACCCCTCTCTACGTTATATGATCAATGGAATTACCCAAATAAAAACATGACATTACAAAGTGTTACAAGAAGCATGGGCTTTGGCTGCACATGGCACAGGGGCTCTGCTCTTTTAGGCTGCCTTAGTGAGATATGAGAGCTGTTGGGCCTTGGGAATGGTACCAGCCTCCTCTGAACTTACACCAGAGGCTTAATTGGACATAGATCAGCAGTGTTTTAAAGGAGTGGTGGGTGTCTGTCTGTCTGTCAAGAGTTTCTGAAGTGCACCGTAGAACGCCACCTCGCACACCTGTCATCACATAGCCGTAGCCCCAGCTTCATTAGACTTACCTGTCATTCTCTTTACTGGCCATGATGGGGAAGGAAAGAACATGGTCTCAGAGGATGCAGCTGAGGTTAGTTAGGGTTTGTTAAGGTGCTATCGCTACATACAGCTCATAGTATAATGAAGTAGTTAATATTTGTGTTGTAATGGGCTGAGATTGCTATTAAGATCATGGGTTGGGTTTAGAACCTACTGATGTGTTGTTTTATAACAATGGAGTGAAAACTGTGAATTAAGAGGAGGTTTAATGGATTCAAATATTGTGAAGCTTTTTTATTTTCTTTTAATCTTGCCTTTCAGTAAGAGAATGTCACTTTAGTATTGCAGCCTCTTCGAAATATGAATGTACTTTATCCACATAATGCTGCAGAGAGAGAGAGAGGAGAAGAGTTTAACTTCTGGCCGTTGTGGAGACTTGGTTGTTAATAATGTGTTAAATGTTACATATCCACCCAAGAAAGAGCACTATCTGGATAGGAAGACGGAATAGTTTTGTGTTCCAGGATCCAGACAGACAGTTAAACTCTCACCAGTACTGAGTTATAGAAGAGAGCTGACCTCTAGGTCAACCAGGGGTTTCTATCTGCAGTCTGTATACCTCTAAAACTTCCCAAAACATACCTACACTGTATTAAACATCCATTGATAGAGGTACAGAGGAGTTGGGACGACGGTTGAGGTTTGAATACTGATGAACTAATCTGATCCAGATTCAGGAGTTGGTTGTTCACTCACTCACACTCCATTCCTACACTCCATGTACTGGTAGGTTCATTCTTGCAGATGATATGTAGGCCTACGTGTTGGATTCTTGCAGACGATATGTAGGCCTAAGTGTTGGATGTCTGATAAAACTAAAGGCTTTTGAAAGTTGATTGGTAGTGAATCACAATGGAGTGCTTTAGTTTGTACTTTTATCCCAAAGAACATTGATCCCATGAACTTCCACATGTCTTTCTTTGAGATGTGCATCTTTTTTTGCGTTTGGTTGATGCAAAAGATTTCTCTCTTTCAGCTTGTTTCATCTGTGGGATTGTAAGAAGTTTCTACTAACTATATTTGTGTTTCAGAGATGCACCTTTTGTCAAAAACGAAATACACTAGTCCGTTTTCATTGATTCAAGCTATTGATCAACTCATATTTTCATATCCATGTCATATTTTTATATTCATAAGGGGTTATTTTTGTAACCATTATGTATTTGACCTAATCAAAAACATTAATTAATATTTTGGACTGAGCTTTCCTCATATTTTGTGCCTAAATCAAGAATAGTTCTATGGATTGATTGTGTACATAATGTAGTTTTTGTAAGAACTGCTCTAGTAACATGAAAACATTATAAATAATAAACAGAGCTTCTCTACAGCCTTTTAACAAACTCTAGCTTTTCTTTGCCTCAATAAAATAAACATATTGTAGTGCAGTATAATGGTATAGGCTATAGACCAGTGGTTCCATACCTTTTCTGGGTACTGTACCGCCAACTGAATTTTGTTCTGCCCCGAGTACTGCTGAAGTACCCCCCTCATGTGCATTTTAATGAGTCTTCTCAAGTACCCCCTGTGGATAGGCCAAGTACCCCTAGGGGTCCTAATACCCCAGATTGGGAACCACTGCTATAGACAATGAGTAATCTCTCTCTAGACAGATGGGTTGCCTCCCACAATGTTACCACTGAGGGAGTTCGATTAAGCTGAACCGCAGTGCACCGGGCTATGCAGTGAGGGAAGAGCACCCTTCTCAAATCGAACAGTAATCTGCGTCGCTCGGTCATGTTGTCAACAAGGCAGCATGATGCAGGCCTCCTGTAGCTCAGTTGGTAGAGCATGGTGTTTGCAACGCCAGGGTTGTGGGTTTGATTCCCACGGGGGGCCAGTATGGAAAATGTATGCACTCACTAACTAAGTCGCTCTGGATAAAAGCGTCTGCTAAATTACTAAAATGTCAAATGTAATGCATCGTTCAGAAACATACATCTCTTTTCCCAAATTGTTTTGCATTTTCAAACTTTTTTCATTGGGAATGCAGATAAAGCGTTTTTATCAAAGCAGTCACTTTTGCATGTGAAAACACAGAATCCTACTATTTACTCCACATGCTTAACCTACGCCACTTTTGTTTTGAGCCGACTCCACCGTCGGCCAAAACAGGGCACCTGGCTCACGCCCCTGGAGGCAGCCCGGTTACAAAACAAATGAAATCAACGCTAACCCGGTTCACCCGGGGCAGTCCCGGGGCATTAATCGAATACCCTCAATGTTCCAGCATACACACATAGGTCTGGGATTTCTGAGACTAGGCTATGAGTACAATACTTAAAGGGGCAATCCTTAGTTGAAACAATAACAATGCGGTCGCCCCGCCTCTGTTCTGGTAAAAAGCTCAAGGATGGGCCTAGATAAATGTAACCACTCTCAAATTCATAGACAGCTGTGGACTGACCTCCAATATATGAAAATTATAGTTTTAAGCATGTTTTGAGGCTATGCAGTGTTTATTTACATTTACAATGTTTACAAACATTGGAGTAAAGCAAGCTTATATTTTGGGTTCTGATGGGGTATGACAGTTGAATTAAGCTCATGAGGCATAAATTATACATTATCTAAAAAAATCAATGGGTGTATATCACTCATTTATATATCCAAAAATTGATGTAGGGACTGCAGATTGTCCCTTTAAAGGTCCGGCTTCCTGGACACAGCTGGACTAAAAAACATGCCCAATGGGGAATTTCCATTTAAATCACTTTTATTTCCAGGTCTAGGTTTATTTAGGCTAATCTGTCTCTGGGAAACTGGCCCGTAGTGTTATTACTTAGATTGGACAGTAGATGGCAGTAATCCCATCTCAATGACCACACTGTGTAGTGTACACGATCTATTCTAAAGATCTATTCTATGCCGTACAGTCCAATGTATTTCAGTCCCACACGTAGCCTACATCTGGGCGGAGGGAGCTAGTAAATTCGCATTATTCAGTTGTGATGTTCGGGTTTAGGCTGCATTCGTTGTAAATAACCCGACCAGCTGATCGATCACCTTGCACAGTGAGTTTTGTTTTGCTAAAAATACTTTACTTTTTAAATAATTATGTTGCCTATGTTTACTGAATTATTATGCTTTTTTATAGAATTCCAGTTATTTGTAGGCCTATTTGCATAATATTTATAGATCCGTAATGTTTTGGATCACTCATTAAAACTGTTGACCCATTAACTGTAAAAGTTACTTTAAATGTTATGTTCAACTTTAAACGAACTACAACTTTTAAGGATTAATGAAGCCTTCATTACTTAACCCTTTAGAAGGCCAACAGATGCTTAAGAAACCATTCTAGCAGAAGTCAGCAGTAGAAACAATAACTAAGCAGATATTCTGCCTCTGTTGCAGTAAAAAGCTGAGGGATGGAGCTGGAGAAATGTAACCACTCTCAAATTCATAGACATAACTATGTATGCAAGGACTGACCATCCATGATACCAACATTATACTGTAGTTTTAACCATGTTTTGAGGTTATATAGTGTTAGTTTACATTTACTTTATTTACAAACATTGGAGTAGATAGGCTTATATTTTGGATTCTGATGGGGTACGACAGTTGAACTAAACTCATGAGGCATTTTATAAATGATATTCTTCAAGAATCAATGGGTACATATTGTAAAAACTGTTGGTCACTAAATCCGGCTAGAATGACCAAGTAAAAATGGTTGGCTGGTATGCCCTAACCCGTCTGAGCGGTCGGCTGTAAATGCCCTCACCCGCTATATACTTATAACTGATTGGTTTGGTTCTATCCTCTGTAGTGCTGTCCGGTTATAACATGATGTTGAGGCCCATCACTGTACTCTTGATAGTCACCACCACACACACGCAGACGCAGCTGTTTCCATTTGGAGAGGTGTATATGGTTTGGTAATCTGAATGATTTTGAATTTTATTGTTGTGTTTCTATAAGACAAAGATATGCACACATGTAAACAGTATTAGTTAAGGGTTATAACTATGCAATATACATACAGTACCAGTCAAAAGTTTGGACACACCTACTCATTCAAGGGTTTTTCTTTATTTTTACTATTTTCTACATTGTAGAATAATAGTGAAGACATCAAAACCCTGAAATAACACGTATGGAATCATGTAGTAACCAAAAAAGTGTCAAACAACCCAAATATATTTTATATTAGAGATTCTTCAAAGTAGCCACCCTTTGCCTTGATGACAGCTTTGCACACTCTTGGCATTCTCTCAACCAGCTTCATGAAGTAGTCACCTGGAATGCATTTCAATTAACAGGTGTGCCTTGTTAAAAGTTAATTTGTGGAATTTCTTTCCTTAATGCATTTGAGCCAATCAGTTGTGTTGTGACAAGGTAGGGGTGATATACAGAATATATCCCTATTTGGTAAAAGACCAATTCCATATTATGTCAAGAACAGCTCAAATAAGCAAAGAGAAACGACAGTCCATCATTACTTTAAGACATGAAGGTCAGTCAATCCGGAACATTTCAAGAACTTTGAACGTTTCTTCAAGTGCAGTCGCAAAAACCATCAAGCGCTATGATGAAACTGGCTCTCATGAGGACCGCCAAAGGAAAGGAAGACCCAGAGTTACCACTGCTGCAGAGGATAAGTTCATTAGAGTTACCAGCCTCAGAAATTGCAGCCCAAATAAATGCTTCACAGACTTCAAGTAACAGACACATCTCAACATCAGCTGTTCAGCGGAGACTGCATGAATCAGGCCTTCATGGTCGAATTGCTGCAAAGAAACCACTACGAAAGGACACCAATAATAAGAAGAGACTTGCTTGAACCAAGAAACGCGAGCAATGGACATTAGACCGGTGGAAATCTGTCCTTTGGTCTGATGAGTCCAAATGTGAGATTTTTGGTTCCAACCGTCGTGTCTTTGTGAGACGCAGAGTAGGTGAACAGATGATCTCTGCATGTGTGATTCCCACCGTGAAACATGGAGGAGGAGGTGTGATGGTGTGGGGTGCTTTGCTGGTGACACTGTCTGTGATTTATTTAGAATTCAAAGGCACACTTAACCAGCATGGCTACCACAGCATTCTGCAGCGATACGCCTTCCCATCTGGTTTGCGCTTAGTGGGACTATCATTTGTTTTTCAACAGGACAATAACCCAACACACCTCCAGGCTGTGTAAGGGCTATTTGAGCAAGATGGAGAGTGATGGAGTGCTGCATCAGATGACTTGGCCTCCACAATCACCTGATCTCAACCCAATTGAGATGGTTTGGGATGAGTTGGACCACAGAGTGAAGGAAAAGCAGCCAACAAGTGCTCAGCATATGTGGGAACTCCTTCAAGACTGTTGGAAAAGCATTCCAGGTGAAGCTGGTAGAGAGAATGCCAAGAGTGTGCAAAGCTGTCATCAAGGCAAAGGGTGGCTACTTTGAAGAGGGATAATTAAGGTAGGCTGAGCAGCCAAACTAACGGGAGTTAAGGGAAACTGAAGGGACTGTGAGGTGAAGTTAGGTAGAGAGGAGAGGAGCAGGACGGCCTTCTTTACACATATCCTTAATTTGTCAAAAAATTTATGTAGCAACTGCTGATTGCCCCTTTAAGCAAATTTCATATGTTATAAAGAGTGGCAAAGGATCACATTTGCCAAAGACCTGGATTTTATATATAGGCCTTTCATATCACACGTTATACAGTATTACTTTGTTTATAAATTATGTAGTGCTTATCAAGACTTTATGAATGCCATATAAAGCCTTCATACATTGTAGTTCGTTTAAAGTGGGACCAAACGTTCAAAGTACTGGACTGATTGAAGTTACCACGTCTTAAAATTACTTTATTTATAGAATATGATGTCGCGGATACTCCATAGAGGTGATTTACTAAGCCTGGGGACACACTTGATGCTGTGTTTTCTCTGTGGCATGATGTCGGAAGATCCTACAACAGGAAGTGCAGTTGGCTTGATGACAAAATATCCTTTGATTGATGGGTAAGTGAACGGAGGAAAGTTGTCTTAGTTATTCTGGCTTTCCTAAAATAGAGAGAAGTTTATCCTACAGTATTCCTTATTATTGGTTAATTATATATTTGTCTGTGCAGAGATACATAGATATTTTTGTTAAATCATATGCAGCCTAAAATATTAATAGCTCAAGGATTTTCAACGGTAAACTTTTGGAAATTTGGCAGTAAGTATCCAAAACAAGTGTAGTTCCAAAGACAAATAATTACCATCCCGTACTGAGTCATTCTCGCCCACACACAAGTGGTACTGTATGGAGCTGTCCCTTTTGAAATTGGATATGTAAAGATGTCTTCCTCCAGCTCCACCTTGAGTCACTCCCCTCTATTCCATCTGACTGACTCATCTCTCTCTCTCCTAGACATAACGACCTAGCTCTGATGCTAAGGATTCTCCACAACAACAGACTGAGTCAGGTTGACCTACGCAACATCAGCAAAGTGGCCACGGACATCAACCGACTCACAACGGGACATGTCGGCGCTCTGGTAGGTTAATGTATGGTTAATCGTAGCCTAAGTGTGTGTGTGTGTATGTGTGTGTGTGTATGCGTGTGCATGCTTGTGTGAGTGTGTGAGTGTTTATGTGTGTGTGTCCCCGTGCGTGTGTATACTGAGTTGTACTAAAGCCATAATACCCTTCTAACTCAAGTGTTGCTCTCTGGCCTCCTGCTTTGTCCCCATCCCATGCTCTGATCAGGTGTTTGCAGCCTACGTGTTGTGTGGCGCCCAGAAGAAGGATGCTGTGCGGCTCACACTGGAACAGATAGATGTGATCCACCGTATGTGTACAGAGAACCCAGAACTGGAGCTGGTTACATCTGTAAAAGGTATACAATATACCAGGGGTAGGCAAATAGATTCAGCCGCGGGACGATTTTTGTCAGCGTGGATGGCCGTGGGGCCAGAACATAATTATAATCATTTGTACACTGCAAATTGACCACAAATAAGCCCAATAAGAGATTGTATTTGAAAATAACAATAGTTTCATACCTTGATTACATTGAGACATGATCATGTTTCTGTCACGATCGTTGAACGGAGTAGACCAAGGCGCAGCGTGATGAGCGAACATACTTTATTAACAATAGTGATAACACGAACAAAACAATAAACGATAACGTGACGTCCTAGGTTAAACACAACCAACACGGAACAAATCAAAAGGAACAAGATCCCACAACACTGTGGGAAACCAGCCTGTTTAAATGTGGTTCCCAATCAGAGACAACCAGCAACAGCTGACACTTGTTGCCTCTGATTGAGAACCACACTGGCCAACATAGAAATACCTAAACTAGAATGTACAATACAGAACACCAACACATAGAATCTACACACCCTGGCTAAACATATAGAGTCCCCAGAGCCAGGGCGTGACAGTACCCCCCCCCAAAGGCGCGGACTGCGACCGCGCCTAAACATAAACCAAACAGGGGAGGGCTGGGTGGGCATTCCTCCTCGGAGGCGGTTCCGGCTCCGGGCTTGACCACCACCCTTCAACCATCCCCCCGTAGCGCCCCTGGTCCGGTCTGGCCCCGCTGGCTGGAGCTGGACTGGACATCGTAGGAGCGGATTGCTTAGGCTCCGGTGTGGAGCAGCTGACCGGTACCTGACCAGGCACCGGTGACCCAGGCACGGGTTGTGCCGGACTGACGACGCGCACCCCTGGCCTGGTGCGTGGAGCAGGAACGGACCGGACCGGGCTGACGATGCGCACCCCTGGCTTGGTGCGTGGAGCAGCAACGGGCCGGACCGGGCTGACGATGCGCACCCCTGGCTTGGTGCGTGGAGCAGGAACGGGCCGTACCGGGCTGACGATGCGCACCCCTGGCTTGGTGCGTGGAGCAGCAACGGGCCGGACCGGGCTGACGATGCGCACCCCTGGCTTGGTGCGTGGAGCAGGAACGGGCCGTACCGGGCTGACGATGTGCACCCCTGGCTTGGTGCGTGGAGCAGCAACGGGCCGGACCGGGCTGACGATGCGCACCCCTGGCTTGGTGCGTGGAGCAGGAACGGGCCGTACCGGGCTGACGATGCGCACCCCTGGCTTGGTGCGTGGAGCAGCAACGGGCCGTACCGGGCTGACGATGCGCACCCCTGGCTTGGTGCGTGAAGCAGGAACGGGCCGTACCGGGCTGACGACTCGCACCCCTGGCTTGGTGCGAGTGGCAGGAACAGGCCGGGCCGGGCTGGCGACGCGCACCATTGGCTTGGTGCGGGAAGCAGGAACAAGCCGGGCCGGGCTGCGACGCACACCGTAGGCTTGGTGCGAGTGGCAGGAACAGGCCGGGCCGGGCTGGCGACGCGCACCGTAGGCTTGGTGCGAGTGGCAGGAACAGGCCGGGCCGGGCTGGCGACGCGCACCGTAGGCTTGGTGCGAGTGGCAGGAACAGGCCGGGCCGGGCTGGCGACGCGCACCATTAGCTTGGTGCGGGGAGCAGGAACAGGCCGGGCCGGGCTGACGACGCGCACCATTAGCTTGGTGCGGGGGAGCAGGAACAGGCCGGGCCGGCTGGCGACGCGCACCGTAAGCTTGGTGCGAGGGGCAGGAACAGGCCGGGCCGGGCTGGCGACGCACACCGTAGGCTTGGTGCGAGTGGCAGGAACAGGTCGGGCCGGGCTGGCGACGCGCACCGTAGGCTTGGTGCGAGTGGCAGGAACAGGCCGGGCCGGGCTGGCGACGCGCACCATCAACTTAGTGCGGGGAGCAGGAACGGGCCGGACCGGACTGGTGACGCACACCACTTGCTTGGTGTGAGGAGCGGGACTGGGTTTCGTCATAACCCTCCGCTCCCTCAGCTGCCTACACAGTTCCTCTCGCCGTGCCTCTATTCTCACCTTCTCCCTTATCGCCTCCAGTAGCTCCACCCTCTGCACCACTAACTCCTGCTCCCTCTGCACCAATAGCCCCCTTAACCTGGTGGCCTCCTCACCTAACCTCCTAATATGCCCTGTAGCTGCCTCCTGCTGCCCCTAAAATTTTTTTGGGGTTGCCTCTCGTCCGTCCGACGACGACACTGTTGACGCCGTTGCTCCTCTCTCCGTCGCGCCTCCACCGTCTCCTTCCATGGACGGCAATCCATCCCGGCCTGGATTTCCTCCCAGGTCCAGGACCCCTGCCCGTCCAATATTTGCTCCCACGTCCAGGCTGCCTGCTCCTGGACACGCTGCTTGGTCCTGGTATGGTGGGATCTTCTGTCACGATCGTTGAACGGAGTAGACCAAGGCGCAGCGTGATGAGCGAACATACTTTATTAACAATAGTGATAACACGAACAAAACAATAACGCGACGTCCTAGGTTAAACACAACCAACACGGAACAAACCAAAAGGAACAAGATCCCACAACACTGTGGGAAACCAGCCTGTTTAAATGTGGTTCCCAATCAGAGACAACCAGCAACAGCTGACACTCGTTGCCTCTGATTGAGAACCACACTGGCCAACATAGAAATACCTAAACTAGAATGTACAACACAGAACACCAACACATAGAATCTACACACCCTGGCTCATTTTTTATTCGTGGGAATACTTAATTATTATATATTTATTTCTGAATTCCAGGTGATTTTAGCATTTTTCCCCCCCCTAAAAAACTAAAAGTGTATTTGAATGTGTGTGGTTTTGTGTGGGAGTGTCAGTGTAGTGTGTGTGAGTGTATACTGTACATAGTGTATACAGTATATAGTCTAGTGAGTGTGCAGAGTCAGTGCAAGATAGGGTCAATACAGATATTCCGGGGTAACCATTTAATTAGCTATTTAGCAGCCTTATGGCTTTGGGGTAGAAGCTGTTCTGGAGCCTGTTGGTCCGAGAGACGATGCTTCGGTACCGTTTGCAGGATGGTGGCAGAGTAAACAGTCTATGGCTTGGGTGGCTGAAGTCTTTGCCAATTTTTTGGGCCTTACTTTGACACCGCCTGATATAGAGGTCCTGGATGGCATGGAGCTCGGCCCAAGTGATGTACTGCGCCATCCACACCACCCTCTGTAGCGCTTTATATTTGCCATACCAAGCGATGATGCAGCCAGTCAAGATGCTCTCAATGGTGCAGCTGTAGAACTTTTTGAGGATCCGAGGGCGCATGCCAAATCTTTTCAGCCTCCTGAGGGGGAAGAGGTGTGTGTGTGTGTGTGTGTGGACCATGTTAAGTCCGTAGTGATGTGGATGCCAAGGAACTTGAAGCTCCCGACCCGCTCCACATCGATGTGGATGGGGGCGTGCTCTCCCCCCTTTTTCCTGTAGTCCACGATCAGCTGCTTACTGACATTAAGGGAGAGGCTGTTGTCTCTGATCTCCTCCCTGTAGGCTGTCTCATTGCCGTCCGTGATCAGGCCTACCACCGTCGTGTCGTCAGCAAACTTGATGATGGTTTTGGAGTTGTGCGTGGCCACGCAGTCGTGAGTGAACAGGGAGTACAGGAGGGGACTATTCACACACCCCTGATGGGCCCCTGTGTTGAGGGTCAGTATGGCGGAGGTGTTGTTGCCTACCTTCACCACCTGGGGAGCGGCCTGTCAGGATGTCCAGGATCCAGTTGCAGAGGGAGGTGTTCAGTCCCAGGGACCCGAGCTTGGTGATGAGCTTGGAGGGCACTATGGTGTTGAACGCTGAGCTGTAGTCTATGAACAGCATTCTCACATAGTTATTTCCCCTCTTGTCCAGGTGGGAGAGAGCAGTGTGAAGTTCAACTGAGATTGCGTAATCTGTTGGGGCGGTGTGCGAATTGGAGTGTGTCCAGGATGTCTGGGATGATGTGTGTCATGACCAGCCTTTCAAAGCACTTCATAATTACAGATGCGAGTGCTACGGGACGATAGTCATTTAGGAAGGTTACCTTGGAGTTCTTAGGAACAGGAACAATGGTGGGCAGCTTCAAACATGTTGGGCTTACAGACTGGGCAAGGAGACACTTGCCAGCTGGTCTTCCGTCTGGCCAGTCATTTATGCTCTCTGATGTCATTTGATGGGTTTTCCAAATGGATCTTTCCAACATTATGGAAATGTGTGGTTGTTCAAGTGGGTTGATGCCTAGTAAAAATATGTTTCTGCCCCATTTACAGTAGTATGATGATGATGATGATGTGTGTGTGTATCATGTGTGTGTATTCAACAGGACTAAATGACACTAAGAGGATAGCGTGTCTGATCAGCATTGAGGGAGGTCATTCTATAGACAGCAGCCTGCCAACCCTGCGTATGTTTTACCAGCTGGGGGTTCGCTCAATGGCCTTCACACACACCTGCAACACACCTTGGTGAGCACACGCACACACACACACATGCACACACACACACACACACACACACACACACACACACACACACACACACACACACACACACACACACACACACACACACACACACACACACACACACACACACACACAGACTCATGCACAATATGTGTTATATTTTGGCTTGACATCTTGGGTTCTTGCTACTGGGCTATGACACAGTAGTTTTTTCTTGCTGCAGGGCTGAGTCCTCCTCAACAATCTATGATGTCTATCAAAGAGAAAATGACAGCCTAACAGACTTCGGTAAGGTAAGGTGAACCTTTAACACTAAGTCTGTGTTAAAGCCAAGACTTGTAGCCTACGCCGGTCACTTCACGCGTCATACTGGAGCGGAATGACATTTCGCTACACTTACGTCTTTAAGTCACAAACATTCTTGATCCTTGACGACTTTTAGGGGGCTGTGTAACACTGATGATCTCATCACTGAGAGTTTTACTGTTTGAAGTGCTTACTTCAAGATAAGTTGAGCAAAGTGTTGATGTTTTTAATGTCAGCAGATAGGTACAATGACGTACATAGAGCACATAATTACTGGGACACCTCAATAACACGGCAAGTGGTAGCGTTATAATGCTTTATCTGTTCTCTCTCTGTCTGTCTTTCTCTCTCTCAGGATGTGGTGAAGGAAATGAACAGATTGGGGATGATAGTAGACCTGTCCCATAGTTCCTGGGCCACAGTCAGGGCAGTACTGCAGGTCTCCAAAGCTCCAGTTATTTTCAGCCACTCCTCAGCCCATGCCGTGTGTAACCACAGCCGCAATGTCCCTGATGACCTGCTCCACGAACTGGTGAGACCAATGGCTAGAACTCTCTCTCTGTCTCCCTCTCTCGCTCTCTCTCTCTCTCTCTCTCGCTGTCTCTGTCTGTCTGTCTCTCTGTCTCTCTCTCGCAAACACTCCTCCATCCCTCCTCCCTTTCAACCACCATCGGCACGGTCACTCAGTGTGGGTGGCCTATGTTTATCAGGAGAGACTTTTGGAATGATGTTTTGACGATGTCCTTTCTGAAGTGTTTCTTTAATCAACTTGTCCTTTATTTGCATTTCCTGTTTTACAGTGCCTTCAGAAAGTATTCATACCCCTTGACTTATTCCACATTTTGTTGTGTTACAGCCTGAATTCAAAATTGATTAAATATATATATATTATCCATCTACACATGATACCCCATAATGACAAAGTGAAAACATGTTTTTAGAAATTTTTGCAAATGTATTGAAAATGAAATACATAAATATCTAATTTACATAAGTAATCACACCCCTGAATCAATACATGTTAGAATCACCTTTGGCAGCGATTACAGCTGTGAGTCTTTCTGGGTAAGTCTCTAAGAGCTTTGCACACCTGGATTGTACAATATTTGCCCATTATTCTTTTTTAAATTCTTCAAGCTCTGTCAAGTTGGTTGTTGATCATTGCTAGACAGCCCTTTTCAAGTCTTGCCATAGATTTTCAAGCCGATTTAAGTCAAAACTGTAACTAGGCCACTCAGGAACACTCATTGTCGTCTTGGTAAGCAACTCCAGTGTATATTTGGCCTTGTGTTTTAGGTTATTGTCCTGCTGAAAGGTGAATTTGTCTCCCAATGTCTGTTGGAAAGCAGACTGAACCAAGTTTTCCTCTAGGATTTTGCTCTATTCCGTTTATTTTTATCCTAAAAAAACTCCCTAGTCCTTGCCGATGACAAGCATACCCATAACATGATGCAGCCACCACCATGCTTGAAAATATGAAGAGTGGTACTCAGTGATGTGTTGTTTTGGATTTTCCCCAAACATAACGCTTTGTATTCAGGACAAAAAGTTCATTTCTTTGCCAATTTTTTTGCAGTTTTACTTTAGTGCTTTACTGCAAACAGGATGCATGTTTTGGAATATTTTTATTCGGTACAGGTTTCAAAATCTAAATTTAATCAATTTTAAATTCAGGCTGTAACACATAAAAACGTGCAAAACGTCAAGGGGTGTGAATACTTTCTGAAGGCACATGGCTGGAAGGTCATATTTTTTGATGTTCTATTCTGGGTGTGTTGTTGTTTCAGAAGGAGAACGGAGGACTCGTCATGGTTAATCTGCACAGTGGGTTTGTGGCCTGCCATGGCCAAGCCAATGTCTCCATTGTGGCTGGTGAGCAGTTGCCTTTGATTAGTGTTTACTGGCATCAAACAATTAAGTGCAAAATTGGCTGCCTTGTTATCAATCAAGACCTGTTTACAAGAGCAATACGAAGAACATCAGTAACATGTGTATACATGATTTATCCTATGTAAATATCTTCCTGATCTTCTGATATTCCTCTCACGTTTTGCAGACCATTTTACCCACATTAAGAAGGTGGTTGGACCCGAGTTAATAGGAATAGGAGGAGACTTTGATGGAGCGTCTAAGTAAGAACTTGTTGTTACCTCAGAGTAACAACAGCACATCCAGCTTTAGTTCATTAATACATTAGGCTCCAGCTTGAATGCTATCAGAATGACTCACTTTTTTGTAAGCAGGCTGGTAACAGATAGCAGCTGCATTTTACATGTTGTTCTCCTTTGGCCTAAGGGTTTCAGTAAAACATAGCCTGTTATGTTCTACTGTCTGAAGGTTTCCTCTTGGATTAGAGGATGTGTCCAAGTATCCCGCTCTGATCCAGGAGCTGCTGGAGAGAAACTGGACAGAGAACGAGTTGTCCGGGGTCCTCAGACGCAACTTCCTGCGTGTGTTCAAGGAGGTCGAGAAAGTGAGTGCTAAAGGAACAAAAGCGCTGTGTTTTCAGCTCATAAAAAAGGCTCCATGCTACGGTGTGAGTATTGTAATCAAAGCCCATCAAAAACACCTGCAGTAGTAACAAAGGAATGAAAGGCATCTCTGTCTGGGACTGAATGTCCATCTGAGTACGTTGTGGTATGAAGGGAACTGAGAACTGGAAAGGAGCCCAGTATAGTGCATGGAAAATCCCACTTGGTTTTTCTTGTTCAGTAGAGTCACTGTCACGGCATCATAACACAGTGTAAACTTCTCTCTCTCTCCCTCCCTCCTTCTCCCTCTCCCTTCCCCAGGAGCGTGACAGGCAGAAAGAGAAAGGAACTCTCCCCAGTGAAGCTCAGATCGACTTGGCTGAGGTTCAGAACCCCTGCAGGCTGGTTCTCAGGCGACCCGACCACCAGGGGATCAAGAAGGAACAGATGTACTCCAAGGGCCACAGTGAACTGGTGGCCCCCAGGAGTCTGGTCTGGACTGTGGTTGTACTAATCTCCTGCCTCTGTGTCCTGATGGACCATTAAGACTATAATAATATGGCCTCGATTCAATCAGATCGAGCACTAACCCGCGCTGGCCGATATCCGCATAGCTGATGTTTTGGCAGTATTGGAGGTGTAACTGTGGTGTGAGCTGACAAATAGGTGTGTGGCTGCTCTTTTGTGTCACCAACCACTCCCTTCCTTACTATCCCTATGCATTAGATGTTCAAAACGACAAAAGCAAGTGTAGGCTCTGTCGATGATGGAGATAATGACAGGCCAATGCATGTTTTCATGTTCATTTGGATGGGGGGATTTATAACCTATCAGTCTATGTAGACAATAGACCATTACGCATTAGAGTGGTTGAAACATGAGCTTCTAACGCGGCTACATGGGATTTGTGGGATATAAAGTCAGGTGTGGTTTCATTGTATCCAATGGCAGTGTCCACGATAATGTACCGTAAGGGGCTGCTCTAATGCAGTTCCTCCTCCGACACTGCCAAAACAACTGCTATGTGGATGTCGGCTACAACGGATCTGATAGAATCTAGCTCTTAGTGTTACTAAACTATTAGCAGTGCTTGACTTGGGCAGGAGCCTACCGGAGCCGAGTACCGGCACCTCAAATTCTCTATTGCTTGAGCTCTTTTTACTCTTATAGAATATTAGCTCAAAAGTATAGTGGAGCTCCTGCACCTAAATATAAACAGTACTTGCACCCAAAATTAGTACTGGCACCTATTTAGTAGTACTACTAGTGTTGTATTAGTAGTGTTATATTACACTACAACCATGTTTCTCCGACAGTTACAAGCCTAGCTTTACCGTGTTTACTGTGTCACTTGCTTACATGCAGATGTGATCTGGCCTACAAAGAACTTTACCTCATTTTTAGTTTCGGTCATTTTGACCTTGAAGGAGTTGTATATTTACACAAAGCTCTGCATGAACTTTGCACTATATTACATTGAGTTCAACACGTTGAACTCTTTTTACATATCTCATTATAAAAATATATGTTGTTATGTTATGTTTGTTTATTGATACAGTCAAGGCCACAAGGTCATTCTGAGGCATTTACAAGGTCATACTGAGGCATTTAGCTTTATTTATCTGAGGACACAGACCTTGAGGTTCATCACACAAACTTGATTGTCACAATGAAACTATTTCATAGCAAGTGAAGATTTCATCTTAACATTAAGATTATTGTAACATTTCCTCACAAGAGGGTACAGTGAAACGGTATGTAACTAACATGTTAATATACTGTAATGCCTCCTACAGTCATCTCAGGAATGTTGTATTCTGTATTCATATCATAGGTTATATCATATTTATTTTGCCTTTCTCTTAAGTAAATAATGCTTTGAGTTTTCTGTTTTTCTACCATCTTATTTTGTGAACACATTGATATATCTGAAGTCAAGAAAATTACATTCTGGTTGAATATGGAAATGAATCATGATTTTATTGCCACGTTCAGATAAGTACTCTTCCTTTTTTACAGCTCTTGCAGTCTACAAGAAATAAAAGGAAATGTGTGCGTATGCTACTCTGTTCGTTCAGGTGGCCCAGAAAGTATTCTTCATGCCTATCATAATGACTTTTGTACAGAAATAGCAGATCAACAACTATACATTACATTGAATGATGTAAAACCTCTTCTCTTTCAACAATTACAATTACAATTACAATAATCATAAATCAAAATGATTTCAAAACAATCTCTGGCATCTACATTTACAAGCTCTGTCTCTGCCATCTGTTGAAATACCCCAACTGGCATTTCTTTGTTCATTATCTACAATCCGAAAAATCTTAACCTCATCGGGGGAAGATAGAGAAAATAAATAAGAAAATAAATATAAAAGTTATTATTCCACCAACCAAAAAAGGACTCAAATTGGCACTCTACACAGAGGCCTTCATACGGCCCACCCAAGACTATGCGCTATCTGGCAAGCTAATCCTTGATGAGGGAAAGCCCACCATAATTTATTTTCTGCAAAAAAATACAAAAATACTGACTCAGTCGACATAGAAAATTAATGTTTGATGGATGTATGTGTAAAAGTAGCAGTTGTTAGTGGTCTCCTATTGCAGAAATAGGTTTGTGAATGACACAAGCTTTAGTTGCCTTGGCAATAAGGCATTCATATGAGGGAATTATAGCATGTCATCTTTAAAGGCTACTGTCCTCGTGGAAGGCAATACATTCCACAGAAATGCCAGGCAAATTATTATTGCTTTCTGTGGTCCTCAAATTCCACAATAAAAGTCCTCTTAATTCCATCATTAATTGGCACAGTTTGTGTGTACTGTATGTTGAGGATCGGCTGGATGCTGCTGCCGGTGCTGCAGTGCCCCCGGTGGTCGGGGTGGAATGTTTCCTGTCGAGGCAGTATCATGACCTATGACCCCAGTGGTTTCTGATAGGTCAGGAGTAGATAGTGATGACCTCTCGTCCTCCTCCTCTCACCAGCAGCACTCTCTCCAAACCTTCCGTCAGCACCTCCAGAAACTCCATATCTGGGCCAGAGTTAAGCACTGCTATAACCAGCAACTCTGCTCTGCATCGCTGCACCTGCGATTACATCTGCAAATCTGTGTACGTGACCAATTAACTTTGATTTGATGTTCAGCTCAAAAGCCAGTAGTCTTTCATCTCGGTAGACATAGCCAAATATTTCGTGCATGCTGGCTGGCCATCTACTAATACTCATTCGGTCATCTTTTACACAACTCATGCTACACTCAACCCCAAATTACACTCCCTAACCCCATAATGAGCCCTAAAACTGTCCTAAAAAATGAAATATTGTACCACACAGACCTCTAAGACCAGTGTTGTCCAGTAAATTGAGAGCAGCTGTTAGTGAAGGATACAGTTCTCGTCTCCGTCTGTGTTGCGTGGCGGCCCCGGCATGTTGAGCAGCACCAGACGAGCATCATGGGACTTGTTGACGATTACCTCGTTCAGCTTCACTGCCGTGTGCATCCGCCGCACATTGGACTGGTCCCTGGGACACAACCACATACAGATGTTACAATGCAATCCAGAACATTCAAGTATTTAAAGGGATAGTTCACCCAAATTACACATTGGTTTCCTTACCCTGAATGCAGTCTATAGACAAAGTATGACAGCAATCCAGTTTCCCTGGCTCTGTTTCCACATGCTAAAGTTTTAGCATTTGTGGCACAAGTCCCATTCAAGTCATGGGACCGATATTATCATTTTTCACACATCATGTCCAAATCATCCGAAAGTATCTAAAATTGATTTTGAACCTCAAAAAAGTACCTTATAGAAGTTTTGAACATGATGTGCAAGAAATGTTATATCGATACCATGATTTTAATGGGATTTGTGCCACAAATGCTAAAACGTTAGCATGTGGAAATGGTGCCAGGGAAACTATACTAAAGCATGGATTGCTGTCATACCTTGTACATAGACTGCTTACAAAGTAAGAAAACCAATATGTAATTTTGTAATTTGGGTGAACTATCCCTTTAACAATGCCGTGGAATAATGTTCAGATATCTAACAGTGAACAGCATGAACCAACTCAGTCATAAAGCAGAAAGACATCAAGTGCAGTCCACATACCAAAGCTCACCCCACCCCGCCATTCCAATTCATTGCATGGAACTTACAGACTCAGAGTGATCAGAATAACATATTACTAACAGGAACTTACAGACTCCGAGTGATCAGAATAACATATTACTAACAGGAACTTACAGACTCAGAGTGATCAGAATAACATATTACTAACAGGAACTTACAGACTCCGAGTGATCAGAATAACATATTACTAACAGGAACTTACAGACTCCGAGTGATCAGAATAACATATTACTAACAGGAACTTACAGACTCAGAGTGATCAGAATAACACATCACTCACAGGATGAACCATTCTCTGTCTGCAAGACAACAGAAGCAGAAAAAAAGAGAGAGAAGAAGGAAGACTAGAGAGAGTGGACTACCTCAGATGGGGCCGGATGGAGATTTTCCTAACCACGTGAAAGGCCTGGGGGTTTTCCTAGTCAGATCACGTGGGTCAAGAAAAACTCCTGGCCTTCCAATAGACCAACAACAAGTGACTCACGGTTTGAGGCTCATGAGTTCTCTGAAGTTCTCTGGTGCGTTGTTCCTGTTCCTCCTTTCTGCCTCGTACTTCTCCTTGGTCCAGGTCATCTGGATCTTATCAGCTACAGGCTCCACCACCTCCTCCTCCTCGTCTGAGTACAGGCTGCCCATACGGATCAGAGAGTGTCTGTCCTTTACCAGCTGGGCCTATAGGGGGCAGAGTGCAGGGGATACAATGTCCTAATGTCCATACCAGAGTTACTTGAAATGCATGGCCATACATTGCTTCATTTAATGCTAGTGTAGATACACTTTATATACAAAAGTATGTGGACACCCCTTCAAATTAGTGGATTCGGCTATTTCAGCCACACCCGTTGCGGACAGGTGTATAATCGAGCATACCGCCATGCAATCTCCATAGACAAACATTGGCAGTAGAATGGCCTTACTGAAGAGCTCAGTGACTTTCAACGTGGCACCGTCATAGGATGCCACCTTTCCAACAAGTCAGTTCGTCAAATTTCTGCCCTGCTAGAGCTGCCCCGGTCAACTGTAAGTGGTGTTATTTTGAAGTGGAAACGTCTAGGAACAACAACGGCTCAGCCGCAAAGTGGTAGGTCATACAAGCTCACAGAACGGGAACCACCGAGTGTTGAAGCGAGTAGCGCATAAAAAGTGTCTGTCCTCGGTTGTAACACTCACTACCGAGTTCCAAACTGCTTCTGGAAGCAACGTCAGCACAGTAACTGTTTGTCGGGAGCTTCATGAAATGGGTTTCAATGGCCAAGCAGCCGCACACAATCCTAAGATCACCATGCGCAATGCCAAGCGTCGGCTGGAGTGGTGTAAAGCTCGCCGCAATTGGACTCTGGAGCAGTGGAGTGATGAATCATGCTTCACAATCTGGCAGTCCAACGGACAAATCTGGGTTTGGCGGATGCCAGGAGAACGCTACCTGCCCCAACTGTAAAGTTTGGTGGAGGAGGAATAATAGTCTGGGGCTGTTTTTCATGGTTCGGGCTAGGCCCCTTTGTTCCAGTGAAGGGAAATATTAACGCTACAGCATACAATTACATTCTAGATGATTCTGTTCTTACAACTTTGTGGCAACAGTTTGGGGAAGGCCCTTTCCTGTTTCAGCATGACAATGCCCCTGTGCACAAAGCAAGGTCCTTACAGAAATGGTTTGTCGAGATCGGTGTGGAAGAACTTGACTGGCCTGTACATAGCCCTGACATCAACCCCATCGAACACCTTTGGGATGAACCTGCTACTGGGCTAAATCACACTTTCAATGGAGATTCTCCAACTGAGGATGATTAAATACAGGAGAAGACTTCTGGGTCTGGGAAACCAGCTCAATATGTCCTTCACTGTGGTCCACAACTATTGTTAAGTATGTTTGGTCTGACAGGTGTAATTCTGTGGATGTTTGTGGATGTGTAAGATGTACCTCTCTTTCTCGCTCTGCGCTGGACAGCCTCATCTGTCTGAGCATCTGAGACCTCTGCTCCATCATCAGAGTCCTCTCATACGTGTAGGCCGAGATGTCGCTGTCATGCTGAAACAATTAACATGGTAGTACGTAAATACCTGACCTTTGAATACACTAAGGGGAGAGAAGTGATTTAAAAATGGAAACTCAGTTGGATTGCATGTTAGACTCCTGGTATGAGGTACTTCTCTTCCCATCTCCACTATCATGACATAATTAGGTTTAAGGAGGGACATCTCTCACCATCTCCACTATCATAACATAATTAGGTTTAAGGAGGGACATCTCTCCCAATCTCTACTATCATGACATAATTTGGTTTAATGAGGAACATCTCACCATCTTCATAATTCGGCTTAAGGAGGAAATTCTCTCACCATCTCCACCATAATGACATAATTAGATTTAAGGAGGTTCATCTCTCACCGTCTCCACCATCATGACATAATTAGCTTTAAGGAGGAACATCTCTCACCATTTCCACCACCTCCACCTCTGCCTCTATTCTCAGCTGGTACAGGAATGTAGCCAGGTCCTTCTTCATCTGAATACTGTTGTCCTCCATCTGGGCCACAGTGAAGATACGCATCTTACACTTCCTCCAAACCTGAAACACACACCATGGTAAGAATGGAGTAGCTTAGCAGTTAAGAGTGTTGGGCCAGTAACTGAAAGGTCTCTGGTTCGAATCCCAGAGCCAACTAGCTGAAAAAGCTGTCGATGTGCACTTGAGCAAGGCACTTAACCCTAACTGCTTCTTTAAGTCGCTCTGGATAAGAGCGTCTGCTTAAATGTAGATACATTTCTAAACAAACAAATCCATACACCTTTAGTCTCTCTCAAGTCATGGTGGCCAACAATAAATGCTCCCAGAGTTTCTGCTGGACTTTACCTTGTGCTGTTTGAGCAGGAAAGGTAGCAGCATGAGCATTCCTCCGTCATGGACGATCCACCACACATCGATGGTGCCATCTGTGAAGCGTTCATGGTTGCTGGGGTAGAAGGACACGTTCTTGGGCACCATCAGAGCCAGGTGGGCTGCTGTGGTACAGCGGACTGTGTCTGTGGGGAGGGGCACAGAGAGGTAAATATGTTTACTTTGTGTAATATGTAATGTAATACAGTTCAATGCTGATGCTATCAGTTAACTAAAGAGTCAGCATGGAATGCTTCAAATACTATACAGGCTGAAGGACAGTCCACCAAACCCACAAAAACATAGAGATGGCCAATGCTCTCATGGAGAAACTGGGATGAGGTTATTGTTTAGAACATTTTTAGGGGAACGGGTCAGATCCATGTGTAGGACCAGGCTAGTCTACAGTAATCAGAGTCTTACTAATGAATGTCTTCCATGCGCGGGGGTCTTCACTTTGCCTCCAGCCGTAGGGCCATCCCATCACCACTGTGTTGTGCTTCATGCCCCCCAGGCCACAGGACTGGATCAGGTGGGCAATGCCCTCCCTCACCTTGGACGCCACAACCACCTGGCAGAAACCCTTCACCCGCTCAATCTCCATCATGTTCTTTACGGCCTGACGAGGAGGAGAGCAGACAATGCAGGTAATCATAAAGCTGGTAATAAACTCACTTATTCTTATTGGCGCATGTCACGGTTTCGGCCGGGACTGCTCCTCCTCCTGGTTCGGGCAGGCTTCGCCGTTCGCCGTCCCCGGAGTACTAGCTGCCACCGTTGTATGTTTCGGGGTGTGATTGCTTTAGTCTGTCTTGTACACCTGTGTCTGTTTGTGTTCTGATTACGTGTCCTATAAGTTCCCTGTTTTGTATTAGTTAGATTGTGTGTTGTTGTTTGCCTGTCGTGCGGAGCTGCGTGTTTGCGCTCTGTTAGTTTTGTTTATTGTTTTACGCATGTTGCGTAATTCCCTCGCCTCCATTTGTTTTCGAGGTCGTGTATTGTTTTGTTGCACTTTGGACTAGTAAAGTATTTTGGACGAATCCTCTGTGTCCTGCGCCTGACTCCTCCACCACATCCACATCGGTTCTTCTGACAGCGCAAAGGAGACAACAGAAATTAGATCTCTTTCTTATAGCTTTGTAAAGTGGACTGTATGACCAAGCAATGATGGTAACAGCCTTCAAACAATCCTGAACTGATTCAATAAAGCTACAGTACGGCAAAATGTCTTTTTCTTGTACACACAGTAGACTGTCGGAGAAATAAGATACAGCTCTATCTCTACCTGTTCAGAGGCCTGTGTTTCTCCGTAGCTGTCCAGGAACTGTCCCTGGATGACAGAGCCCACTATGGTCAGGCCCTTCCCTGCCTTCAGCTGGGAGACAAAGGTCAACAGACGGGGATACTTCACATGGAGGTCCTCATCCAGCTTCAACAGCACAAGGACCTGGGGCCTGGAGAGTGGAGGGGCAAGAGAGACAAAGTACGTGAGAATCTACCTGGAAGTACTTATTTGATTTACTAAAAAACAACAACAGTATAAACTGTAGAGTGAGAGAAAGTACAGAATGTATGACAAGGAAGAGGTAGTTATGCATATCTGAAGTTGGAGATACCAGATATCTAAGACTATGGACGAGGAGTGATGTTTACCTCCAGTTTTTAGTGTGAGGTGGTCCATGCTCCAGCCGTAGCAGAGAGTACCGCGCAGCACTGAGGGACAAACCTCGTATCCCATCTCCCCACTCCTTCTCCGCTCTGAGAGAGAGACAGAGTGACAGCATCAGAATATATACTCTAGCCTAAATAGCTAACTCATACAGTGACCCAATTATATACAATTATGTTATGAGACGGGTAAGAGTTCAGACATACCCCTGGTACTCAATGTACTTGTAGATCATGCCAGCGATGCACATGGCCACGATGGCATAGTACCAGGAGGAGATGAACATCAGAGCCAGACACATACTCATACCCAGAAAAGACAGAGCCCTGTGGGGGAAACACACAGTAGTGTAGTACTCATTATACTATAGTACATGGGTGGCAGGTAGCCTAGTGGTTAAGAGCATTGAGCCAGTAACCGATAAGTCACTGGTTCGAATCCCCGAGCCAACTAGGTGAAAAACCTGTCGATCTGATAAGAGTATCTGCTAAAATGTGCACTTTAAATGTAGTACTCTTTGCATTTGACAGGGACTCAGGAGGAATGTTGTGTGAGGGAAATGTATGTTGTCTGAAGAGCTAGCATTGAATTGTAAACAGCTTCTCCTCTCACTCTATCTTGGTTCGTGACTGTGACCTCCTCCTCAGACCAATTGGCAGTACACCCAGAACATTGTTCTGGGGACCAAAAGGAGGATCTCAGTTTCAAGGTCCCAGCTTTGAGAGAAGAAGCCTCGTCAGTCACATGCAGGAACCTACGTTAATAATGAATAATGAAAATCATGCTTATATGACTTGTTTGTATAGCAGTATCAAAGGACTGAGAAGGAACGCCCTTTTCAGAGTTTTCATCAAGCTTGGATTGAGTTTGTGAACCTCTCCGGCCGTGCTAATAAAGATTGATTCATTTACATTGAGTTTGAGTCCTTAGTGGTGAATTTCCACGACAGGTGCTATACTTGTTCAGCTACTGAAGCTTATTACAGTAAAGTTCCTTCTTTCTAGGTCACCATGCAGAACACCAGAGAACAAAATGCTTCTCTAGCTGGAGTCTGCATAAAGTCCTCCAGTCAGTCAACAGGAAAGCAAAGTAGATTATTCAAATGGAGTGGAAGTGTAGCCAACACACCCACACGTATACAAATGAGTGTTGCATCGCTCACATACAGTATGCTCGGATACACAGCCACGCACATACACCTGTACTGTACTTACCAGTGGTAATATTTAAACCTAGGCCTCCAGTTGGGTGTCCGTAGTAAAGTCTGCACAGCACAGGCTAAGTTCACAAACAGATAGCACATCAAGAAGAACCTGTCGGAAAAAAAATCACACACCATAAAATGTAATTAATTCCAAACCGATTTAGTCATTGAAATATTGCTTTGGAATTACAATACATTAATTGTCCAGTTATGTACTTGTTGCAGGATGTATAGGCCTAGTAGTCTGCTAAAATACATCTCAACTGAAGGCAAAACACAGAAGCACAAGAAAGTGCACTAGATCAGGGGTTCCAAACTTTTTCACTCAGGCCCCCCTTCCAGCATTGGGGAACATCCCGCACGCGCACAACGTCTATTTCTGTGGGCACAAGCACTGTTCATGACACAAACTGTTCACACCACTCTTGTTGGTGTAGTGACATTTTTTCAGGTTTAAAGCTTATTTCCTGCAATTCTATACATTTTGCCATGTCTAATGTGTATTCATGTGATACTTGAGTGACTCGAACATTACTACAAAATGTATGGGCACTGAAACCTAGCTAAAAAACGTTACCTGAAATGAGCTAGTTGATCTGGACATTTCTGACGAGTTATAAATAGCTCTCTAAGGTATGCAATGACCGACATGACAAGAGGAATACTGATGATGCACTACTCAATTTTGAAATTTCACCTTGTGCATTCTACTATTATAACCTTCAACAGTAAGTTGAAAGTCGGATTGAGTTCCTTAAAATGTATATATCAAAAAAAATAACTGGACCCACAGTTTGGGAACCACTGCACTTGGTGACCTTCCACAAAAAGCCACTTGTGCTGAGTGTGTTCACGGTGCCTGGCTGGAATGAGGTGTTTCACTTGTGAAGTGGTTGTCTAAAATGTAAGTGATTTGATTAAAGTACATTTTACAGACACTCTTATCAAGAGCAACTTACAGGAGAAAGTAGGGTTAAGTGCCTTGCTCAAGGGCACATTGACAGATTTTCCACCTAGTCAGCTCAGGAATTTGAACCAGCAACCTTTCAGTTATTGGCCCAGCCTCTTAACCGCTAGGCTACCTGCCGCCCAAAGTACTCCACAGAGGACCATAATGTTTAAAACATCTGTGAGATGGAGTGGAATAACCACTAGATACACACACATTGAAAATGGTTTATTAACAGTGTGTGAGAGGGGAAGTAGAGTCATCAAGAGTCTGTTTTCTCCCATGTAAGGTACATGACTTTGGCTGATGGGAGTAAGTTCAGCAAGTTCACACAACATACCATTATGTAATGAATATGGATATGAGTTGAAATAATCCCTATTTGACTGTTTTTAAATCATCATGTTTGTTGTGTGCATGTCTGCATGTGTGTGTTTAGTGTGTTTGTGTGCGTGCATGTGTGTGTTTTTCCTTGTCTGTGTGCATGCACCTGTGTGTTTAGTCTATTTCGTGCACGTGTGTGTGTGTGTGACTCACATGGAGAGGATAGGGGCCACCATGTCCAGAGAGGCTATGAGGATGCCCAGCTCAGCGATGAGTCCTGTCAGTAACAGTGCCCAGGTTGGCTCCCCATTGGCCTTGCCATGACCAAACACCTGCCCCAGGAAATAAGAAAATATACACTTCATTGTCCATTTTCTTTACAGATAACAGAAATATGTATTTTTGAAATACATTCATTGTTTTTTTAATGGTTTGTTTGTTTTTTATTTGTTAATTGTTGTATTGTAGCCAAGGGGACAGATAACTTATGGATTGTGTGGCTTTAAAGGCCCAGTGCAGTCAAAATTAAGCCTTTTCACTGTTTTTTGTATCAGATTGTACAACGGCTGATGAAACTAACACTGTAAAAGTGTGCAGATTTTTTTTTACCCTATTTTTTCTCCCCAATTTCATGATATCCCGTGTAGCTCAGTTGGTAGAGCATGGTGCTTGCAATGCCAGGGTTGTGGGTTCAATTCCCACTGGGGACTAGTATGAAAATATATGCACTCACTAACTGTAAGTTGCTCTGGATAAGAGCGTCTGCTAAATGACTAAAATGTAACTGTAAATATCCAATTACGATCTTATCTCATCGCTGCAACTCCCCAATGGGCTCGGGAGAGGTGAAGGTTGAGTCATGCGTCCTCCGAAACATGACCCGCCAAACTGCGCTTCTTAACACCCACCCGCTTAACCCGGAAGCCAGCTGCACCAATGTGCCTGAGGAAACGCCGTTCAACTGACGGCCGAAATCAGCCTGCAGGTGCCCAGCCTACCACAAGGAGTCGCTAGTGCGCGATGAGCCAAGTAAAGCCCCCCCCCCTGGCAAAACCCTCCCCTAACCCGGACAATGCTGGGCCAATTGTGCGCTGCCCTATGGGACTCCCGGTCACAGCCGGTTGTGAAACAGCCTGGGATCAAACCCAGGTCTGTAGTGACGCCTCAAGCACCGCAATGCAGTGCCTTCGACTGCTGCGTCACTCGGGAGGCCAATGTGGTATATTTTTTTTAAAATCAGTGTTATTTCCTGATAGTTGCTGATTGAAAATACAATCTACACAGGACCTCCTAATCAGCAGGTTTGCAAGGGTGGGAGTTTCGGCTTGTCTGGTGACATCACCAGGCAGTAAATTGGTTAAAGCTGCAATATGTAACTTTTTGGGCGACCCGACCAAATTCACATAGAAATGTGAGTTATAGATTTACATTTTAGTCATTTAGCAGACGCTCTTATCCAGAGCGACTTACAGTTAGTTATTTTTATATTTAAATTTTTCATACTGGCCCCCCGTGGGAATCGAACCCACAACCCTGGCGTTGCAAACGCCATGCTCTACCAACTGAGCTACATCCCTGCCGGCCATTCCCTCCCCTACCCTGGACCAATTGTGCGCCGCTCCATGGGTCTCCCTGTCGCGGCCGGCTACGACAGAGCCTGGATTCAAACCAGGATCTCTTGTGGCACAGCTGGCACTGCGATGCAGTGCCTTAGACCACGGCGCCACTCGGGAGATCCGTCGTTCTCATTGAAAGCAAGTCTAAGAAGTGGTAAATATGTTCTATGTGCATTATTTATATGCTTCCAGTTCTTAAGTGTTGTTTTTGCGTCTTTTACTTTCAGTTTTGCACACCAGCTTCAAACAGCTGAAAATACAATATATGTTTGGTTATGGAAAAGATATTTCACAATGGTTTAGATGGTACAATGATTCTCTACACTATACGTGCGCTTGTTTTGTCACATAAACTGAAATTAGGCAAACTATTCGAATTTTAGCAACCAGGAAATGGCAGAGCGATTTCTGCATAGTGCAGCTTTAATAGACCAATAACAAATAGAGTTCCAACCTCCCTGCCAATAACAGCTAGTTTTAGTTTTCCCCACCCCACTCGGACCACTCCCAGACAGTCCTAGCTAAATTCTTGCTTGAGAAATATTTTTTGCTAAAAAAGCTATTTTTTTCTATTTTAATAGAAAACTATGACAGTAAGGTACTTAATTGTTACCCAGAAATGATTTGATATTGATTGAAAAACAGCTGCATTGGGCCTTTAAGTGCTGGTCCTAGGCCAGTTTTTGGTACCTGATTCTTCATGGTTGCTTAAGCTGATCATAGACCAGGGTTACTCAACCATAACATTACCTTCTTTTATATAGCTAATCCTCTTCTACCAACAAGAATTGAAATGTGGGAATGCAAATTAACTCATATGTTCAGCTTCATTCAAATGAGTAAGCAAAGACATCCGCAACTCGATTCTCTTGTTCACTGTAGTTTGTAGTTGTGTATCATATCGTAGGGCCACTGTAACCATACACGGGCATAGAGCCGAGCAATGTGTATAAACAGTGGTGGCAGCTAGAGAAACCTTGAATTATGGCTGTGTTTTCCGGTCCACTAACAGCTCTGCATTTTATAGAAATGACACAACAGTGTGTATGTACAATACAGCTCCAACCACAAAGGCTCTGATAGCCAGTGTATAATTTTTTACATTGTAGCAAACACTCTTATCCAGAGCAATTAGGGTTAAGTGCCTTGCTCAAGAGCACATCGGCATATTTTTCACCTAGTCGGCTCTGGGATTTGAACCAGCTGCCTTTTGGTTACTGTCCCAATGCTCTTAACCGCTAGGCTACCTGCCGAGGTGGCTGGTCCTACCCTAAGGAAGGGGATGATGTTGTCCTTGGCGATGGCCTGTAGGAGACGAGGGGCGCCGGTCAGGGACTGTAGTCCCGCCCCCACGGTGGAGAAAAAGGAGCCAATCACGATGACCCAGGGGGAGGGCCAGGACAGAGTCCCCACAACCAGGTTCTTACTGACTGCATCCCCAAACCTACAGGACAGGAGAGGACATGGACCTGTTAGTGAGGCCATTATCAATACCAACAAACACAGCATTTGAAGTGCTTTGCCATACCAACAAATATAATTAAAAGCTTTGTACTATATGTTGTTGAGAAGCAGACATGCCATTGTCTGGACTTGAATGTAGCTTGTGATGTCAAAGATGTGGCCTAATGCTACAGACAGGTTCACTTACTTGTCCCTTAGGACCACTCCTTCAATACAGGCCCCAAACAGAACAACAGAGCTGAAATCTGACGGCAGGATGTTAAGGAACATACAGAAACACATGCAGTATGGAACACAGATGTATCTAGACATCGAACAACTTGGGCACAACACTGCCTATTGATATGGACAAGGAAGAGCTTGCAGGTAGGCATTTCACTGTACCGTTTACACCTGCTGTATCCTGTGCACGTGACAAATAAACGCTGATTTGATTTGACTATTGACTCCATGGAAGGATACAGACAAGGGTAGTAGTGGTTATAGCCAAAATGGTTCCAATAGGGATGGACTTCTGAGCATCTTTCAGATCTCCTGATCTGTTGGAGCCTGCCATGATACCTACAGTACAGGGACATGAAGGACACACATCAGTTACTGACAACACTCAGAATGTTGACTCAACCAATCAGTGAACAAACATGTCTCTGGGTTGCCAGCTGGTCAATTGGTCTGGTGTTGCCAGTTCATGGTCTGGGTTACCAGTTATGGCTCTGGGTTGCCAGGTCTTACCTGTGGCGGAGGGAAAGAAGATTCCCACCAGGAGGGTGAAGGAGGTAGCGATGTCAGCTGAGACGTACAGGCCGAAGCTCTCCACAGCCCCGTGGACGTCTACTGAGGGCAGACCAGCCTTCTCCAAGATCTGACCCTTCTCCAGGTAGTCTCCCCACATGTTATCTACAATACACATCAGGAACAAACTTTATAGATATGCTAGCATCCCATCCACAAAGTAAGCAACGTAATGACATCCCCCTAACGGCACAGCAACACCCACCAAAGCTCTACAGCAGGGTTGCCCAACCCTGTTCCTGGGGAGCTACCCTACTGTAGGATTTCGCTCCAACCCCAGGTGTTACTAACCTGATTAATGGTTGCAGGTAGCTTAGTGGGTAAGAGCGTTGTGCCAGTAAATGAAAGGTTGCTGGTTCTAATCCCCGAGCTGACTAGGTGAAAAATCTGTTGATGTACCCTTGAGCAAGGCACTTAACTCTAATTGCTCCTGTAAGTCGCTCTGGATAAGAGCGTCTGCTAAATGACAAAAAAAAAAAAAATCTTATCAATTCGCAAATTATTAGAATCAGGTGTGCTAGATTAGGGTTGGAGCAAAAACCTACAGCATGATAGCTCTCCATGAACAGGGTTGGGAAGTCCTGCACTACAGCATCACAAATTATTGTTATAATAGTATATATAAATTCACTTTTTAGATAGCTAAATCACTACAAACATGTTGTACACAAAGTCTGCAGAAATCTCAAAGTGCATGTTTTACTGTAATTACATATCACCATTGTAAAGTGGATGTGGCTCTGCTGCCCCATAGCTGGCTGGTCCCCAATGGCTATAGTAAAAGAGTGAATTTGCCCCTAGACGCTAATATTGGGTCAGTTATACATTTCCCCCCATTAATGGTTAAGGTTAGGATTGTGGGAGGGGGAAGCTGATCCTAGATCTGTATCCTAGACTTCACCCAGTGTGGTAATAGCCATATCATTACAACTATGGTCCTTACCGCTGATGATGCCGCTGGCCAGTCCTGGTATTCCCTGTATCTCTGTAACGTTGTTCTGGTTGAAGTAGTCGTCACATTGAGGACTACTTATGTTGCCAGAGCTACAGAAGTTCCTCCACAGCTGACTAGCTACAGTCACATTGCCCTGTAGAACCGTCTTACTACACACGTCAAACTGATCTCTCACCAATGTCCTGTTACCCAACATACAGATCCTGGAGAAAGAGGGATATTATTGGTTATGATTATCAACAGAGTGATGAAAACATGTCATGATAATGTGATGATAATATCTGTGTTTTCACTCTACGTTAGATCAAATATTAGCTACATTATAGCTACACTGAAAAACATTTACAGTATGCGTACAGTAGCTACATCTTTAGGACAAAGTTCAACAATGGAAATACAATTATATCTCCCTGGACCATTCCAGCCAGCGGAACAACAAGTGTCTTGGCTTCCGTTGGGGAAAAACTGAACAATCATTAACACCAAATTAAATCCACACAAATTATACCATTATCCCCATTTCCTGTTTAGACAAAGAAGTCAACAAATACACAGTGCCTTACGAGAAGTCGGGCGGTTGGAAAATGGACTTGATGGCCCCGGCGTAGATGGAGACAATAGAGATAATGACACAGGCCAGGAAGAGAGAGGCCAGCTTGTTGACGTATTTCACCCCCACAAAAACCACCACGGCCATGAGACTGAGACAGATGGTGCCGTAGACCCTCATGTTGTTGAGGATGGCACTGTCGCCCCCGTGGTGGTCGCTGGCGTGGAAGATGGCCGCCTGGGGGACCAGGTATTTCTGGGAGAGGACAATGACAACAGAAGTAATTTAAGTAAGTACACTTTCTGTGAGGCACACACAATGGTGTAAAGTGTAAAGTACTTAAGTAAAAATACTTGAAAGTACTACTTAAGTAGTTTTTTTGGTATCTTTACTTTACTATCTATATTTTTGACAACTTTTACTTTTACTTCACTACATTCCTAAAGAAAATTATGTACATTTTACTCCATACATTTTCCCTGACACCCAAAAGTACTCGTTACATTTTGAATGCTTAGCAGGACAGGAAAATGGTCTAATTCACACACTTATCAAGAGAACATCCCTGGTCATCCCTACTGCCTTTGATCTGGTGGACTCACTAAACACATACAGTGCCTTGCAAAAGTATTCATCCCCCTTGCCGTTTTTCCTATTTTGTTGCATTACAACCTGTAATTTAAATGGATTTTTATATGGATTTAATGTAATGGACATACACAAAATAGTCCAAATTGGTGAAGTGAAATGAAAAAAATAACTTGTTTCAAAAAATTCTAAAAGATAAATAACGGAAAAGTGGTGCGTGCATATGTATTCACCCACTTTGCTATGAAGCCCCTAAATAAGATCTGGTGCAACCAATTACCTTCAGAAGTCACATAATTAGTTAAATAAAATCCACCTGTGTGCAATCTAAGTGTCACATGATCTGTCACATGTATATATACACCTGTTCTGAAAGGCCCCAGAGTCTGCAACACCACTAAGCAAGGGGCACAACCAAGCAAGCGGCACCATGAAGACCAAGGAGCTCTCCAAACAGGTCAGGGACAAAGTTGCAGAGAAGCACAGATCAGGGTTGAGTTATAAAAAAATATCCAACACTTTGAACATCCCACGGAGCACCATTAAATCCATTATTAAAAAATTGAAAGAATATGGCACCACAACAAACCTGCGAAAAGAGGGCTGCCCACCAAAACTCACGGACCAGGCAAGGAGGGCATTAATCAAAGAGGCAACAAAGAGACCAAAGATAACACTGAAGGAGCTGCAAAGCTCCACAGCGGAGATTGGAGAATCTGTCCATAGGACCACTTTAAGCCGTACACTCCACAGAGCTGGGCTTTACGGAGGAGTGGCCGGAAAAAAGCCATTGCTTAAAGAAAAAAATAAGCAAACACATTTGGTGTTCGCTAAAAGGCATGTGGGAGACTCCCCAAACATATGGAAGAAGGTACTCTGGTCAGATGAGACTAAAATTGAGCTTTTTGGCCATCAAGGAAAACGCTATGTCTGGCGCAAACCCAACACCTCTCATCACCCCGAGAACACCATCCCCATAGAGAAGCATTGTGGTGGCAGCATCATGCTGTGGGGATGTTTTTCATCGGCAGGGACTAGGAAACTGGTCAGAATTGAAGGAATGATGGATGGCGCTAAATACAGGGAAATTCTTTAGGGAAATCTGTTTCAGTCTTCCAGAGATTTGAGACTGGGACGGAGGTTCACCTTCCACCAGGACAATGACCCTAAGCATACTGCTAAAGCAACACTCGAGTGGTTTAAGGGGAAACATTTAAATGTCTTGGAATGGCCTAGTCAAAGCCCAGACCTCAATCCAATTGAGAATCTGTGGTATGACTTAAAGATTGCTGTACACCAGCGGAACCCATCCAACTTGAAGGAGCTGGAGCAGTTTTGCCTTGAAGAATGGGCAAAAATCCAAGTGGCTAGATGTGCCAAGCTTATAGAGACATACCCCAAGAGACTTGCAGCTGTAATTGCTGCAAAAGGTGGCTCTACAAAGTTGTCACGTCTCCTCCCGTTGCTCCCCTCCGGCGCTCTGATTAGCCGGTTGTTAGATTAATTTGGATTTTAAGAATAATGACTAAAGGATTTCACCCCAAATACAGTATAAATGTTAGAATTATCATGTAGTGTCAAACAACTAACAGAGGGGGCGGTACTAAACATTCAAGGGGGAAGGCGGAAACTGTTTAGAAAACCCACCTAAAGGTGGGAGGAGTCAAGTTCAGGAGGTATAAAATCGTATGTTTGGGTCTTTGTCCCCAGAGCTCTCCATGAATAAACATACAAAAAATCCTTCTTCGTGGTTGTGGACCTTGAATCATTGATGATTAAAACCAGAGCCTTACAACCTCTGGTAATGATTCAAGCTTAGGTTGAATTAGAGATAGAAATTCACATGACACCGGTCTACTGAGCCACCGGTCTGAGCACACCACCTCGGCAACACCGGAATGGAAACCCAATGCACCCTAATCTCCTCCAGCGCACCTGCACCTCATCATCTCATCACCACCCCTATATAGCCCTGGACTGTTCGGTGTTGTGTGTGATTGTTAGTGTCTTGTTGTTCTCTTGCTCAGTGTTAAGTAAACCTTTACATTGTTGATTCCTGCGTCTGCATCCTGCCTCTTCGTATCCTCAGTACTCGTCACAAAAGTATTGACTTTGGGGGGTGAATAGTTGTGCACGTTTTTTTGTATTTTTTCTTGTTTGTTTCACAATAAAAAATATTTTGCATCTTCAAAGTGGTAGGCATGTTGTGTAAATCAAATGATACAAACCCCCAAAAATCCATTTTAATTCCAGGTTGTAAGACAACAAAATAGGAAAAATGCCAATGGGGGTGAATACTTTCGCAAGCCACTGTACTTCGTTTGTAAATTATGTCTGAGTGTTGGAGCGTGCTCCTGGCTAATTGTTTTGGGTTTGCTTAATATAAGGAATTTGAAATGATTTATACTTTTCTTTTACTTTTGATACTTAAGTATATTTTAGCAATTACATTTACTTTTGATACTTAAGTATATTTAAAACCAAATACTTTTAGACTTTTACTCAAGTAGTATTTTACTGGGTGACTTTCACTTTTACTTGAGTCATTTCTATTAAGGTATCTTTACTTTTACTCAAGTATAACAATTGGGTACTTTTTCCACCACTGGGAACACACATATAATGCCTTATATGTGTATTCTTAATGCACTTATAATGACTTCTACAACTCGCTATAAGGTCAGAACAGACGTCTTTCACTTTATATGTATCTATTTTGAGTACTCCGAATATACAAATATCAGTCATATACTACAGTCTACAACAGTAACATTACATGGATCAAATTTCTGTTCATCTGATGTTATTTGATCCCATTTTTTACATGTAAGTTATTCCATCTCAATATGATTGAGTACATTGACCTATTTTACTGCGTTTTTTTGGTTACATCCCAAATGGCACCCTATTCCCTACATAGTGCACTACTATAGGCCCTGATCAAAAGTAGTGCACTAAATAGGGAATAGGGTGCCATTTGGGAGCAACAGATAACTCACCAGGAAGATCTCTATAGCTCCCAGTATGTACATGGCAGCAGCGAAGGTTGTTCCCAGATAGAAACAGATTCCTACAGCCCCACCAAACTCAGCACCCAGGGAACGAGAGATCATGAAGTACGCCCCTCCGGCTATAACAGAGCAGAACAGAGTTAATATGGATGAAACTGGTCTGATGTCAGAATAGACTGACGGTGTGATAATTGGTTAATTTGTTATTAATGTAATTAACAATTACATTATCTTGTTAATGTCATGTTTATGTAACTGTTACAACTAAAGTGTTTTAAGTGTAACATTTAAGTTTGGATTCTCAATCTTCAACGCTTGTACTGTACCCTCACCTGGGACAACACCATTTGTAGCTATGGCACTCATGGATATGGCAGTGAGCATTGTCTGTAAAAGAGGAGAGAATATGAACACCATAAAATAAGGTCAGTCTTTGTGAGAGAGTTCTGGATGTTTTCTGTTGTGCCAATCAACCAATACGCTGAGCTCTTTATCCACATAATAAACACACTTAGCATTAGAGACATCACTTGTCATTGCACAACTGGACATAATTCATAAATCATATTGGAATGGTTGAGACATGAACCACAAATACATTACATTTCCTTTGGAGTAAACAGCAGGATATGTAAATTGATTGAAATGCTGTGGGTTTTATTCAGCCTAGTAATGTTAACTGGCAGACTGGCTGGTTACCCAGTTTTAACAAGGGGTTTGGCAAGTGGACAAGAACAGAGTGTCAATGGTCTTCTAACATTGCCAGACCGTGTGTATGTGTGTGTGTGTGTGTGTGTGCGTGCGTGCATGTGTGCATGTGAGTGTGCCTGTGTGTGTGTGTGCATCCACAATGTGTGTGTGTACTAACACATGAGCAGCACATGAGGACGATGAGGAATGACTGGACGATGCCGGCTGTGCCCACGATCCACGTTAGACGAAGGAACAGGATGACACCAAAGATGTTCTGTAGACAGGGCAGGTAGACTCCCATCAGGGTACCCATGTTGGGTGACTGCAGAGAGAGAGACATGAAGTGAGACAGAGACAGCGAGAGAGAGAGAGAGAGAGAGAGAGAGAGAGAGAGAGAGAGAGAGAGAGAGAGAGAGAGAGAGAGAGAGAGAGAGAGAGAGAGAGAGAGAGAGAGAGAGAGAGAGAGAGAGAGAGAGAGAACAGAGAGAGATAAAGAGAGAACAGACAGAGAGAGTGAGAGAGGAAGAGAAATTCACATTAACTATAATTGATATCTAACATCAATCAGGAAGGGTGCAGGAATCAAACATAAACAGCAACAGAAAGAAGACAGAAAACAGATGAGTGATAGCACTGCTGTAGTTTCCCATATTTGTGTGTGTAGTGTGTTTCAGTGTATTTCAGTGTGTATAGTGTGTTTCAGTGTCTATGTTTTTGTGTTTCTGTATATGGTATGTAGCACAGATAGACCCACAGGAAATAGCTAATTGACAAGAAGTATTGATCAGGTAAAATATTGATCAATTCTCACCAGGGGGCCCACAGGGCACAGCCTGTAACAAACAGGCACCAACACAACCCAAAGCACACGCATGCAAGCTCAGATCCAAACATGCGCAGAGACAGAGGGGGAGGGGTAGAGAGAGAGAGACTAAAGCCTGTTTGAATCTGAAAAGAAAGAGAGGTAGTTTTTCTCCAGTCTTTGTGACTTCTGACCTTTGGGGCCTTCCTGAGTGACGTCCCTGTGTTCTCGGCCTCCTCGTGCTCCCTGGCCCCCTGGGTAATGTTGGTGTAGTTGACCAGCCGGCTGAGGAGAGACGACACCTTGGGACGGATGTCCAACTCCTCCTGCAGGACAGGGACAGCAGGACAGGGAATAGTTAGAGGTGGGTGGGTACCTGATGTGTCTTTAGGGTGCTATAGCCAACAGTAAAAGGGTATTATAGTGCAGTGTAAGGAACTGAATCTGTGCCTGCACTGTATTTGTTGGAGGAGTGGTGGTCTATCTAGTGATCGATCAATCTAGGCAGTTGAGACTAGCAAATATTGATGTTAAAACATGTGACATGTTGTGTATAATCATGTCATGTATCAGTATCAGTGTCACTGAGAGCCAGTCTTAAAGTAACTGTCCAGTGAAAATCTCACTTTTAAAAGTCCATATTCTGTTAACTCATACCCAAAAAAATGTGTTGATTCATCCTATACTCCTATTTTGTGGCCAGAAACACCCACCTCAAACTTGGATCTCAAACAGACCGTTTCAAAAATGCTTGCCATTTCCTCATAGAGGATGATGTCATCCTCCTGAGGAGGATGAGCTGGCCATTCAGCGGTCTACTCGCATTAATATTTTTTATGACCGGTATACGCCCAAATCATTCTGTTGTTGGGGTATGCCCACACCATTCCAACACAAAAAAGCTGCTTTTTAACATAGGAAAACAATTTCACTCATATTGTAATTAATTATAGGTCATATTTCATAGAAATCTGGAAACACTGGACTGTTACTTTAAAAACAGAAGACTTGCTCACTGACCTCAAATAAGGCCAGGTTCCTGTCATAGAAATCAGTCCTCTTGACAGCATCTGCACTGCTGAGGAAAGGACTGTCCTCGTTGTGATTTCCATGGCCTGAAAAAAGAGATAGAAGTATAAATGTATAAGGTAGGCAAGGATAACATTTTCCCATTCAAATGTTTTCATCCAGTATCTTGTAAGATAAACAGGGGTTATTATAAAGTATGAAATGTGATAATGAGAGTGTCAGTTTGTGATCAGTTCCCATTCATGCATGTTGGTACTCTATTGTTAAACGGCAGTCTGTTTGTTTTCATATCAACCAACACATGTTGCAATATAAAAACACAGGAAATGACATTTGAGACAGATAAACTTTAGAGATATCTGTAGAAGTTGCAGGAAAAGGGAAGACTAATAATAACTACAGTACAATAGCCATCAAAACCATGCAACGATGCAACCATGTCAATAAAATAGGAAATGTTTCCACAGAAATACTGTCTCTCAATTCACATTTTTAAAAAGTTTCTCAAGAGCTGGCGTGCTGATCTATTGTACAGTATTTACGGTGCTGACAGTGATGAATCTCCAAGTTAGTTCCCACAGTCTGCCTACAACCTACAGTATGACATCACTGTCTGTTTCAGTCTCCCACTCCCACGTTCAAAGTAATCAATTCCAGCAGCTGCTATGTGAGGTATACGGTCACCAGAGACCTGCATCCTACAGTACTATACTGGCTTTAATATCTTTAGTATCAACAGAAAGCATATCAGGCACAGAGAAAATAGGAGGGAATTCACTCAAACCCTCTATTGCAAAATGTTTCAACCCATCATTGCCGATCAAGATTAATGTGATTTCAGTAAACAAGATTGAGCAATTGAGCGACTTCGCTTGCATCACAAGTTAGCATTCACCCAAAGATAAATTAATATCTAAACCTCATCCAGGCCAAAACTAAAATCAATCAATGTTAAATAGAGCAGAGATGACAAAGTTGCTAAGTAATTTGTCTCTGGTTTAAATTATGTTCTCTGTTTCTCTTGCTACATGAAGCTGAGACAGGATATGAGCCTGAGGATACTGGCATTGCACACAAAGCATCTGTGTGAATATGATAATACACGACACACACACACACACACACCATTCTATTTCTAGAAATTAGGATCCTGACCTTTGGATCATCAGAGAGCATGACCGGTCGTCGAGTCTCTTCAAACAACATTTGCATGCAGCCCAAATACTAACATCCTGAGCTACAGACAATTACCCAACTGCAGTATCCTACAAGTATGACTGAACACGAGACAAAAATGGCTTCTCTACTCACCTGTCTCCGGTACCACAGTGTTCAGTACCTCAGTGCTGCTGAGGGTGACCATGCTGCCACAGTGTGTGCAGAGAGCAGTGTACTGCGGTCTCTGGTTCGGGACATAGTCAGGCGCCATTCAGGACACACTGTCACACAGGGCAAACTGTCACTCACTGAGGGGCTTGGGCCAGAACACACAGCGTGAGATTGCATACACACACACACAAGTTGGGCGCATACACAGGAGCGAGTACACACAAGCACGCACGCAGGCACACACACACATATACACTGTGGGTTCTAGAGCAGACGCCAGAGCAAACACAGAGTAAGCATATGAAGATCTTAAAAGTATTTCACAACTATGTACAGCACATTGACATTACTATGGGCCATGATGGGCTTGTCATTGGATGCCAACAACGCATAATGGAATCTCAAAATGATATGCTGTGAAACATTCAGGAAAAATGTCCCACCTAATCATTAATAACGAGGGAGTCAACTCCTCGTACCGTTTCTGAGATTAGATGGGAATACATGTGTAAATACCTAACACTCACTCACTAGTATGATGTAATTGAAAATGGAGAGGGAAAGAGACAAGATCAAATCAATGCAAACACTGTCCTCTAGTGTCAGTTTGCAGTTAGTGCACGTGAGAACATTATTAAGACAGGAAGGATGTCACTGTACTGTTATGTGTTTGTGTTTGCATTGCAATGTGCATGCCATCATAGCGTCAGTTCTAAACAATGACCGAAGGACGCTGAACTTGTAAAACAACATATAATCCTTATCTCTCTCTCTGTACTGTTCGCTTATATGTTTCCAAATGTCTCTCTCTCTACCACAACACTCTCCTCAAGTCGGTCTTATTAAAAGGATGGAGGGTTTGGGAACGGGGTGCCGTTTGTAATGTTGAATGGTCCAGAGGGGGTTCTCCTCTTAATGACCTGACGCTGGATGCCTAATTAAAACAGATTAAAGATTAACAGGACTGTTATGAACAACATACAGAGAGTCCCCGAGTCCCACTGCGCTGAAAAGAACAGCACACAGGGATTTACGACGACAGGTCCCAACAAGTCAACGAACAAACGGTGCCTCCACAAAAATGCCTCTGAGCCACAAGATCAAACTACTGCCAACAAAGTGAGACAGACTGCCAACCCTGCCGAGCCTCCCGCCTCCTCCCGCCGTTCTGAACAGTTACCTCTGTCTGAACGCTTTGTTACTATTAGACAAGTCAGCACATTACTGACAGCACTCACTTTTGCTTTTTACAGAGATAAATAATATGACTACCCAAGTATCCAAAGCTATTCAGACCTATAATGAAGTTGTTTCATACGTGTTTGACTGAAGAGGTCTTTGAACTAGGCCTATTACTGTAAGTGTCAAAATATCACTGGTGTAGTGAAGTTACAGGCCAACTTACATCTGCAGAATGAATTATGGAAGATAATATAATTCTTTACTCTGTTTACTAGATCCATCAGCTTCTTTCTTTGTAATTTTACATTTAATATAAAGCAGAGACTATTAGCCAAGATATTAACAACTACCATATGCGGCACTGCTGACATTTGCAGATTCATTTTAAGCTTTAAACACACCAGTAAAACCACCACACATTTGGTTGCCATATTTTCAATGTGGTCCCATTCAAACAAAGGATACAGGAAAAGGCCAGTCCAAATGGTCTAGTAAGCCCAAGGGTGGGGCACCAATTGAGGCTGTGTCTTTTTGTGCAAAGGCCTATGATCAGTGCTGCTGTGTGCTACTGTAAAAACAGACCGATCCATAAAAAGAAAAGACCCCTGATAACCAACCACTAAGACCAAAGTGTTCCTGACCTGTTACTTACCTGTCAATCAATAAACAATCAATAGAAGAGCGGTGAAGTCCACCTAACAGAAACACAGGCTGTATCTGCTTGCTTATCTTCTCCCTGATATTTAAATATACAATGAACCAATACCCTAGACTAGAGTCTGATTAACACAGAACTATACACTAGACTAGAGTCTGACTGACACAGAACTATACCCTAGACTAGTTTGCATGACACAGAACTCTACCCTAGACTAGTCTGACTGACACAGAACTATACCTTTAGACTAGTTTGAATGACACAGAACAATACCCTGGACTAGTCTGAATGACAGAACAATACCCTGGACTAGTCTGAATGACAGAACAATACCCTGGACTAGTCTGAATGACACAGAACAATACCCTAGATAAGAGTCTGACTGACACAGAAACAATGTCCACATCCAACACAGTTGGCGACTTGCGACCTTGCTGGTCCCAGACAACGGTCAGAATCTTCTCATATCTAAGAAAGGCACAGTGAGCATCAGCATCAAAAGAACCCGATAGGCAAGATGTGCTGGACCCAGATTCACAAAACACTTCTTACACAAAAATGTAAGAAGCTTCTTAATAAAGAAAAAACGTTTGTAAGTGCAATTCCTCAACAATATCTTAAGATTTCATTTTTTTCTTACGAACTTCTCAAATATCTTCTTACGAACGTCTTAACGATCTTCTTAAGATGATTGCCACTAGGCAACCAATCTAGCTAGTAATGGCATTCAAGCTAGCATATTTCTTACTGAGATTACTGTTCTAAAACATGTTCTTGGGTTTTCAAACAATCAATGCTGAAACTTTCAGATGAAGTTTGTGAATGAATTAAACATGTTCAATTGCTTTCATTAGCTTATTCTCTCACTGAGTTTAAGACTAGGGTTTAGCTATCTTGGAATGAAACATGTTAAACAAGAAGAAATCCAAGAACATTATTTTCAAGAACCAAATGTCTTCGTAACTTTTTTCTTAGGAAGAAACATAGGAAGAAACTTGAGAACATTTCCAATAACTTTATTGAGGAATACACATTAAGTATAACTTAAGGAAAAATTGCACTTAAGAATACATTTCTTCTTAATAAGGTTTTGTGAATCTGGGCCCTAGACTCTGGAGTTGTGACTTTTCAGTGGCTAACCATTCATTTAACCAATAATGCAAAAGAAAGCAAGAAGACTTCAACATGTCAGCAATCACCAAAGCTGCTTATCCATGAAAAAAAAATTACTTTCTCAACCTATTAGCTCCTTCAGTATGAAAGCCTCTTTGCTAAACTTCTCCTTAATTGAACATTTAAGACTTTATTAAGCAGTAGAGAAGTCATGCAGCTTAGACCTCTCTATGGCTCTACCTCGTGTGGTTAGCTGGCAGAGATGCTATTCTGATTAGTGCTGTTCAAAGGCAATGTGTCCGTGTGTGTGAGAGAGAGAGTGTACATGTTTTCCTACATTATCAGGACCACAATGTCCTGACAAGTCACCACAATGTCCTGACAAAGTAGAAAAAAAGAAAAAAAAGTCTGGACTTTTTTATGTCCTGAATTTGTTCAAATGCTATTTTAGGCTTAAGGGTTAGGTTTAGGGTTTGGGGTTAAGGTTAGGGTTAAGGTTAGGGTTAGGTTAAGGGGTTAAGGCTCTTAGGGTTAGGGTTAGGTTAAGGGTTAGGGTTAGGGTTTGGGAAAATAGGATTTTGAATGGGAATCAAAAAGTCCTGAGAATTCACGAAAACAAAGCTGTGTGCGCGTGCATGCAAGCACAGATTCAAACGCACGCGAGATTGAATGCCTAAATGTGAGTGTGTGTATGTGAGTGAGCATTTGGGGGTGTGTAAGAACACTAGTCAGTTAGCTACAGTAGCTGTCAACACTGGTTGAACTCTCAACGAACACCAGGGTCCACAACAGAGATGCTGCTAACCTGCTACTGTACCAACCAACCAACACTAAGGTGG